TAACTTTACGATCCACGGGAACAACAAAAAAATATACGAAAGGAAAGAGTATGCAAAACGATTTGCGGCAGCTGTTCACAATTTATGTTAAAAACCGCACAGCCGGCAACAAATCTGCAACAGCAGCACCAGAAAAAAACAGAAAAGAGAGTTGATTCGAGCGCTGAACGATGCTTTGGCCGCAAGAGATGTCAGCTGCGCAGCGGTTACTTTGCTGGGATACTGACGGTGGCAACCAGCGGTGTCATTTCCGCTTTTTTCCCGTCAGATTTTGATTTTTTTGAAGTGTGATTGCGGGAAATATAAAAAAACAGCGGGCAGCGGGAATTCTGGCTTTTTTGAAAATTAAAAAGTAATTATTTTGGTAATATTTTGGTACTCCCAACATCGATAAAACGACATATAATTAATGTGTACATTAATGTGCTGAACTGAGGGTTTATTAATGAAAAACATGCAGCTTTATATATACATACTGCTTTACAAAGATCAGCTTTTTTATTAACTTTTTTCTCTGGTATTCCGCTTTTTTTAGTTTTTTTTTTCGTTGATCCAGCTTTTTTTGCTCAGAAAAAAATGACACCACTGGTGGCAACGGCCAAGCCGCACAGCGTTTGCAACATAACACGCATATGGAGGAGAAATTGTGCCAATTTGTTTGTTGCTTTTGTTGCAGCAGGCGAAGGCAAAAGGCGACCGCAAAGCGGCAGCGGCAACCGAACCGACAAGCGACAAGAAGTGTCTATATGGCGGCATTATTGATGATGACAGAAATGTGTCGTTGTTGGAAAAGCATTTTCTATGCACAGCTGTGCCAGAAGTGCATTTGAAGCCGTTCGCTCTTGCCATGAACCTCCGATTGGGTCCAGAGTCAAAGCCAGACCTCAAGTTCATTGGTTGCCAGAGACCTCCACTACCAAGAATTACACTGCGCGCAAAGTTAGGTATGGTTGGTTGCAAATTCTACTTTACGCAAACAAAATCTGGAATCTGTTATTGCAATACATTTGTTATTTTAGAATTTATCTATTCAAAACAACAAATTCTCGAACTTCTTGATTGGATAATTTTTAGTTTTTATATTTGTATTTTTTTTATTATATGTTATATATATTTTATTATTTTTCCCTGTGCAAGCTCAGTAACCAGTTGTTGATTAAGCTTAATGCGCACAGCGAACTTCTCTTTCTCTTTTTTCCGATGGGCCATATTTATGCCATGCATTAATTTTCATGTCCAAAAGAGTTCAAGGCGTAGAGTCGGAATGACCTTGTGCGTAAATTTTAATCAGCGCATCCTTAAAAAAAAGAAGGAGACTGGTTTGGTCAGGCTTGCTGGTCTGAACCGTGGCTTCGTGACTCATCCGCCCAGCCAGCTCGAATTATAGCCGAGTTAAGATCTCGCATGCGGAGGATTCCCAAAAGGGAAGTCGGCCCAGCATCAGCAGTTTGATGGACAGACACAATCAGGCTACGGAGTATAAATTCCTGGTCCATGCAATGGAAACTAAGCACTGCATGATATCATCTCGAGAAATTCCTCGAAAACCAAGAAAGCAGCGAACAAATTCAAGCTATAAGTTGAGACGCCCACAGTCGCCGCTGCTCAAGAACGTCGCCGTCATTGTCATCTTCATCATCGTCATCAGATACGGATACAGATTTAGCAATGCGATACAAAAATTAGCAAATTGTTATTTTTATAATTTAATAAAAACGGCAACTAGCCAAAAAAAAAAAAAGTGGCAGGCAGCAAATGGCAAAAGTTAAGCAAAAGACAAAAGCTCACGATTTCAAAGTCAAAAATTATGCAAATAACAAACGGTGCGCGAACTTACAAACATACAACTGAAAATTAACATGATAATCTTTAATTTTCAGCTCTTGTGTTTTATGTCTTTTCTGTATCTCACACGTCTCCTATTTTGTTTAGCCAAGCTTATAGAATGGTGCACGTTTGGCTCTGACTTTCGTATGCAGATTTTTCGGCGCACTCCATTCAGAAACGCGAATCATTCATGCGAATATGACATTTTTGTTCGTTGACGCTTTTTGCAGCAACGACAAAACAACAACTTATACGGAAATATTTTTTTTTTTTTGATAATATTTTACAAAATTCAAAAACGCGAATTATTCATGCGAATCAAACGTGCTTGATGATTCTTAATACAACTTTTATACGTTTTGTGCTACAATTTAAATATGCAAAAATCTTTCATTCAAATTCATTCAAAATATATGTTCTTGGCCCAATAAAAAAATACAATTAATTCGAGGAAAGAGACAGAAACGTATAATTTTGAAAATTAAAAACCAAAGTGACAACTTTTGGTGTTTTTTTGGTAACACATACAACTAAAACCCACCTGCAGCTATATGGCAGCTAAGTTTTTCCAAGTCAAACTTATCAATGTTATCTAAGAAAATGCATTTAAATCTCCAACGTAGTTTTATATAATCATCTACTCCAGCAAACTCTCGGGCACTTGATGCTCGGGAAATGAGTGGGACTCGTCCACAACCACAAAAAATATTATTATTTTTATTACAACTACGACATGAAATATGCGTGGGAATCGAGTTGAGAAATTTGATGTTTACAATATACATACAAGCCGCGAGAAGCAGTGGCAATAATAATAGCGAGAAAAATGAAAAACGTAAACACAAAGAAATGTCTGGAGGAAACAAATGAAGTTGAACAATTTTGCTACTGTTTGTCCCTAAGTGAGTGTAAAGTGCCACCTGAAGAGACTCCACCAGAGGCCCAAGATTCAACGAAGAGTAGCAGAGTCATCATCTCGTTTTGTGGTCGTCATCATGAACATCGAGGTACAAACCTCCTCTTAACCCCACACAATTATTCCTTCAGGGGTTCTGTAAGCTCTTCCACATAATCTCATTTCTATTCCTTTGCCTCGAGACTTGGCCGTGGTAAATTATATTTCATGGGCATGCATATTTTATATTTTAATTAGGCCTTTTTTATAGATCATAAAATCAAGAGGTTATCTTAAAAGGGAGTATGAAAACTTTGTGGAGATAGGAAGTTACTTTGCCTGATAAATGCAAAATAGTAGAGTGTAGAATCTCAATTTTAGGGCTGTGTGGCTCTAACTTAAACGTTTGTTTTGCTATTTTTGGTAGTACATATTGTATTATACACCATCGTAGGAAAGTTCTGAATTATTTTTTTAAATATAAACACAAATAATGCCCTATAACTTTGTTGGTTTTCAAATAGTTTCTTTTTTAGTTAATATTAAAACCTAAGATAAACAAATGAAAAAAATTAAATAAATAAAAACATTGAAAACAATATTATACTTCCATTTCTCTCCATTATTTTTGTGGACAAGCAAGTTGCATGTTTAACCCAAATTATTCAAGGGAAGGGCTTTGACAACCTTAAGCGGTATCCAATTCCAAGAAAATGTTTTGTTCCCCAACTTTTTGCTAAAAAGATACACATTTCCGTTTGTGAACCCTAAAATGCTTGATATCTTTGGGTCTAAGAAGAAAAAAACTTGTTATAAAGATTGACAATAAACAAAACGGTGAAGAACCAAAGTTTGGAACAAAAAAAATCTAATGGGTGATGAACGTATATTTAAACCCACAAGAGAGACATGTGACAATACGATGGGCAGCCTTTTTAACGAGTTTAATGCCCATTAAAGTTTTCTTTAGATTTGACGTGAAGTTTACTTTCAAAGCACGAGTCACAAGAATCCAAAGGTTATTATTATGCATATCATAATATTCACCGCAGTATACCAAAAGCAATCCTCTGAATATGTCAATTATGTTATGCATAATTCGTAGACATTTAAATGCTTCACTCGTAAATTTATAGAAAGTCAATTTTGGATTTGTTTGTTCGAAAGGTTTGGAAAGGGTATTATCGACCTGTCGGAATTAGTGACCTGCAAAGAGTTTTACGATTTGACAACAAGCAAATATTTCGGGAATTACCATGACAAAGATTTTCAAAGAAAAGGAGTCAAACTTAAAAAACCTATGTATATGCCATATACCTTATAGGAAATTCGTTGCTACTTGTGATTTATTTAAGTATACTTAAAAGAAACATCTTATTTTTCGCATTTTTAATGGTACTGTGAGATAAAGAATTTCTTTTCTAAATTAAAAGATTGTCCCTTGGCTGCTTGCTGCAAATTCCGATTATCAACTGGGAAATTAAAAAAAGCGCCATAAATTCAGTTGTCCCAAAATGTCTCACGCCAAAGTGAAAATACAAAAACCGAAGAAACGGGAAGAATTCCTGTCTGACCAAGACTGGGATCTCTCTTCAAATATCTCGGATATGCGTGTGCATATGTATATATAGCACACTTATACAAGTATATATGTATTTATATGGAACCTATTTTCATCTAATTTCTTTCATTTCTATCCACATGCCTGCTCTATTTTTGTATGTGCGCATTTTTAGCGCTGTTTTCGTCCCCGTATTCTTCTTTCTATAACTCAATTTCCATTGCATTTTCTTACTTCTCACTTTTTCTTTATGTATTTGGCTTCTTTTCGGGCTTTGGTTTTATGTTTTTTGTTTGGGATGCTCTATTTCTGTGTACATTGTTTTCGTTAGCGCTGGTCTGGCAAACATTAAAAATCAAAAATAAAGCTTTCCCCATTTTATAGTTTGGGGCAGCCTTCACATTTATTTATTTTCTTCCATTTCACTAATTTAAATGGTACGCTCTATAAAATATCCAGATTTCATTTACCATAAATTATTGGCGCTATACAAGTCAAACAGAACACAGTTCATTTGGATCCAAGACTTAAAATACGCACTTCATACTCAGTTAACAATTGAATGCAATATATTTATTTTTTAGTTTAGTTTTTATGATTAGCCTATCAATTTTAAAACTATCTGAATAAAATTTTTTTCATAATTTAAAATTCCAAAACTTAAGAGCTAAAATTTTTTAACATTTCTTTTTATAAACCAAGTAAAGAATAACTTACCACTCAATGTAGTTCTACTTTTCTTCCTCGAATTTTTGGTGGCCACATTTAAACCTGCAGCAAAAAAAATAAAAACAATTACTCGAAATTGCATTAAATGATCAAAAATAAAAAAAAAATTTCTTTTGGCCTTTTTATATAATTATATAAAGTTAAAAGCATAACCTTGAATATTAGGACTCATGAGTTTAGTGACGGGTTTGCTGCTTGTTCACAATGCTGAGATACCCAGCGACCAGTAAAACATATTTTTATTTATATACATTATTATTTATCATATTAAAATATGTTTAAAATTTATTACAGACTGCATAATTTGCACAGCCAAAAATGCGTAACACCCTCGACAGCTAGGCGGGCGATATTTTAATTTCTTCGCAGCCAAGAACTCAAAATTCCCAAAGATCAGCCAGCCAAGGCGAGCAGCGTAAAAATAGTCGCTAAACTCACTACTTTCGTTGATTTTTTGTTTATTTGACAGCTCGGCGTCAGCTAACGAATTACAGAAATTTCAAATTTATGCAGGCAGCCTGGGACACCACAAAACTGGCGGGACAAGGCATCTACCGCTGAATCAATAATGATTAAAAACTTTGTTTGGTTCTTTCTCAAACAATTAAACTTGACGACGATCAGTTTGCAAGACATTTATCATCAGAATGCCACAGGCGCCAAGCGAAGACATCACAAGAATCTAGAAAACTGTATGGCGAAAAAATATTTTCGAGGTTTCCGCCGTTTTGGTCGGCTTATTGAGGCCGCCAGCCATCCACCTCCAACTCTCCCAGGCCGCTTCAATTAAGTTGAACAAAACTTGGTTGTCGTCATATCGGTGTGCAAAAATAAGCATTTTATTACCCGCATGGCGCCAAAGCGAAGATGTATCTTGTATCTGGAAGCGCAACACCAATGTGAACATTAAAATTAAACGAAGTCGCGGGCCAAGATTCGTGTGTCCGTGCCAGTTGCTAATAAATATGCAATTAAAACGCACAGAAACATTTCTAGCGCACGCAAAGTAATTAAAGAAATTTTAGCCGAAGCAGCAAGAAGATTTCGCAGATCCATCTGATGATATTGTATTCATTTGAAGATCAAACGCTCTGAGTTGTGGCAGCTCAAAGGGTTGGGATCATTTACAAAGTTCTTCATAAACAGCCAACGAGGCGTGCCGGTATAAATTCAATTGGTGAGCAAGAAGGGACACCAACGAAGTGTTTTCGAAAATATTATAAAATTTCGTTCTAAAACAACTTTAACAGAAACCCCTTATAAATTTACTTGCAAATTTATAAGAGTTTTTAGTTGAATTGATTCTCTTTTTGCTAATTTTAAATAGTTTTTGGTTGAATTGATTCTCTTTTATAAACCCTCACGTGTCATTAACATCAGTTCCATTTATTCAGAAATCCGCATTTTATAATACTTCTGTCCCATTAATCGAACGAATGAAAACCCAACTTTCTTTAGCCAAAAAACCGAGTTAAACCTCAATTCTAAAGCACGTACAAGAAGAAGGGGGAACCTTACCAATATGGTCAGGCGTCTAAAAACTTTCTTTGTTCATCAAAAATCCATAAAGCCAGCGAGGCATTTTCACCAGAAGAATGGCAGTAGAACCATCTGATTCGAATGAGTTATTTTGGACCCGACCTTTTTATATTTGTCCGAATAGACACTTATGTTATACAGTCAAAATAGAAGCGATTTAAAATGGCAGTGAAAACTTCTTGAAAAATTGCTAATAGTGCTTTGAAAACAACTGAAATCAAATTAAAATAAGTGTTTTTTGTGAAAAATTTTAAAGTATTTACATTTTTGGTTTACATTAAATACAAGGCCATTATAAATAAAAATAACTTTTCAAGCTCTTTGACTCAAATTTCGAAAGACAAAGAACCGGAGAATGTCAAGTGCATTAGGCCTTGCCATCACTTCGGGTTTGACTTGACGGGAAAATGCTTTCTCTTTTCTAATGTAGCTGGCATGCAATAATTTAAAATGCTATTGTAAAGCATTTTAAAATTATTGTTTGCTTTCAAAGTTGCCTTGTCGATAAAATGTTCCCTGGACTTTCTGCTTTTACGACTGCACCAAACAGAAACTTGCACGAATACGCACAAATACCTATACTCGAGAACCACACGCTAGCACTAGAATCGTAGGATACGTATCTTTTATTCACATTTTACTAATTGGCTCATTAAGGGCCAAACAAATTCTTTAAACAAAACAACTCTGAGTTACAAAATAGTATCGTTGCATCGTCGATTACATTTGCAATGATATTATTTAGAAGTGGAATTGAAAATTTACGAAAAAATATTGTTGCATGAGGTCTGCCAACCTAAAACAAGGAATGCTTTATGATTTCCGCCAACAATGGCCTCCATTATAATAAGCTTCGCAAAGCAGTTTAGACCAGCCGATAATGTTGAGTACTTAGGTAATCACACCAAATTGACTGATTGGGTACGCAAACTATGCCAAGTTTTACAAAGACTTCAAACTGATAAGCTCGACCAGGCCCCCTTAGCTTGGTCTATAAATAAAACACGATTGTTAACTTTACGGATGGGCACAAGCGGAAATTGACCATTTGGTTAACGCGGCTCAAAGACCTTTGACAGTGTTGGTCAATGCAAAGCAGATGCTAAATGGGGAGTGGTCTTTCCCTCTTTTTTTTTCTTTCATCTGTCCCTGATCGTTGATGATGATCAATGGCTGGTCATTCAATTTTGTAAGCAAAGCGTAAACTGATTGTGATCGAAGGCTGCAAGCTTTGGTGTAAGGCCTCGTCGGTTGCAGACAGCAGTCACTGAACTTGCAACAACGGCAACAGGATGGGAGGGAGAGGGAAGGGAGGCGAATCGGGGCTGAGGCAGGCAAGGGAGACGTCAAAAGGCCAACAAACGCACGCATACCAAGACCCGCACACATGGCCAACATTGTCTGGGGACTAACTAATAACAAACAACCGGCTTTCGCAGCGAGGCGCGAACAGAGAAAGATTTACAGTACAACATCGCTTGCTTGAACTTGAAGGAGTAGAGAGAAAATTATTCTCGAGAAATCTCTACTGGTTATATAACACTTAAATACACAAATCGGCTGATTCTTCAAGTAAACAGTTTAAAAATATGTTAAAAATAAAAAAAAATAATAAACTATTTTTGTTACTAATTAAGGAAACGGCTTCGATAAATTCAAAACTATTCAACTATCTAACTTTGTAACTTTAAAAATGATAGCTAGATCCCTTAATAAATTTTAAAAAATTAAAGACATTATTAGGTTTGAGCCAAGCACCCTAGAAGGAGGCTTTTTTACAGCATACAAATGTGCTTATGGAGTTTTGACTGTATCGAGGGGGAAAGAGGTAATGGGGGCATGGGGAGCTAAGGAAAAGTTTGTTTACTTTGGAGGCAGCGATTTTCGACCGCCACAAACTCGTTGCTGGGCATGCGCATAAGTCACTCCCCGTTGATGGTTGCTGTTGGGGCTGCTGATGTTGCTGTTGCTGTTGCAGTTGCTGCTGCCACTACTGATGTTGTTGCTGCAAATTGCGCGAATTCCTTGGCAGCCAAGACAACACATCTGTCGTCACATTCGGGCAATTGTCGCTTCGCAACACTGTCTACCAAGCGAGGTGAAGGCCGCGGAAAACTCGATCCAAGCCCAACTTCGTGTCTTCTCAAAGCCAAGTCGCCAATAATTGCATGGCCCGCATCCCGGCGAGGAAATTTCAGCAAAGAGCCGAGAGCTGAGCTCTTGGCCATAACGAATTCGCAATAATGCGCATTTTATTAGATACCACCTCTCTGCGCCAAGCTACCCTGCCCCCTCCTCAGCTGCCCCTGGCTCAACTCAGCTCCGAGTGCATTTTCCGCTTAAACACGATTTCATTTTAATTTTCCTCGAGCATTTTTTCCTGGCCCTTTGGGGGCCTCACCTTTGCATTTCAGAAAGAAATGCATTTGCGTATCTCAAAGTGTTGGTTCAATTTGGTTATATACAAAATTTTACGTTTTTTAGTCTTTGTAATCGGAAATCGAAAACCAACACTAAAATAGTTATAAATTAAAACGACAAACTTAAATAAAATACTCAAACTGTTTCCAAACTCGTTCCAACAATTCTGAACACCAAAAAGTTCAAAAGTCCCCGAAAAGATGGGTTCAACTTGGAGAGAAACTAAGTGTGCCGCAATATAAAACCTCCAATATGCTTGTTCGTTGAAACTGCAACATGCACATCCACATTGCTGCGCACAACTCAACTGCCTTTTATTTTATTTATTAGAGTTGTTTGGCTTTTCGTCTTACATCCAAGGCAAAAACAACAGCAACTGTGAATAAACTGGCTCCATTGAAATAAAAGTGAAATTTTTCCCAGCGAGAGAAATTGATGCATTTAAGCAAAATAAAGTCTTTGTTAAGTAGGAAAGTGTTTATACACCCTGCTATAAAGAATAGTCGAGCAAGTAGTGATCATATTGGTAATCGGAATCCACCAGATCGGTCACTGTTCGTCGAAATAGTGAAGTAACTTGAGCCCATTTATCAAAAACTAAAAACCGAAATAAAAAAGCGTACGACAGGCCTAAAAATTATGCGATAATTAACATGGCAGCTGGAGACGAGATAAAGCACCGAAATACCGAACGCGAAGGTCTCTGGGGAGATCTGGTTTTAATGTTCCCCCAAATCGACTTTGACATGTGACCCCCCAACCCCACGCCCCAATTTGACCTTCACAGCAGCCAAAAAAAAACCTGCAGGAATAATCGTATTGCTGGCAATTTAAGCCGCCACTCAATGCTATAATAACGGGGCCAGGGGGTGGGGTTTTGAAATGATCGATCACCCGAGTTGGCCTCCCTTGTGTTTTAAAGTAACTTGCCATCCCTGGAATAAGACGTAAGCCCCATAGAATGCCGGTCAGCCAATTGGTCATAAATTAAATACAGTCTTCGTAGGAATTATCTTGAAGCTATCGCAAAAACGTGATTATGAAATTGATAGCAAATTGCTTACGCTTATCATAGGTGCACCGCAAAAAAAATAAAATATGAATGAAAGCTACTTGGGAGACCCAAAACCTATATACCCTTTTAGTTGAAGGTCAAATCTATATTTTCGTTTTATGAGCTATATAGATTTTCTGATTCGCTTTCTATTTTTTATATAGGATCATAGGATCTATTTTATTATTTTTGTCTGATCCTTGTCGTTGTGTGATGTTTATACACTAAGACAGATAAAAGAAAGAAGATTATTGCGCTGCGATTTGAAATTAACATATCTACTGCAATGGTATAAAAAAGAAAATAGTATCCCAATTTCAACTCTCCTCACGTATATAGTTTTATTGGGGTTAAGTAGTGTATATATACACGTCTATGTTGCTGCAGTCTTATAAAATGAGAGATTAATGAAATAAAATTCGTATAAATTAGTAACTAGCACCAAGTTTAAGAAGCCTACACCTAAAACAGTTGGATACAATTTCGTGAGAAGTTATTATTGTTATTGATTTGGTATAATGGCACAGACTGTAACGCTCCAGTTTTGATTTTCCGCCTTTGGGTGCCCCCTTAATATCCAAACATTTGTTCGCCCCTTTGGCTCCACCCTAAACAATATTGACTTTGTTAACAAAAGCCTGAAACAAAAAGTAAATAAAAACTTAATTGGTTAAAACAACGTAAACAGAGAACGGTTTTTATTTCACCTGAGAGGAGCGCATGGGGCGTTGTGCCGCTAAGTAAATAGAAAACTTGACGTTCCGCAGATAATTACTGATAAACGTAGGCGCTGCTTTATATATGGACTCAGTCCCCATAAGTCTAGCCCGTCTCCTCTGTTGACTCTAATCAAGCACCCTCTCCCGTTCGCTATACAAATACAATCCGGTTGAGGGGCAGTCGTAGGTGCAATCAGAGCTCTATATTTGCATAAATGGGTCGCTGGACAAGCCGGAGAACGTAAACGCCTGAAAGGAAATTCTATATTCAGCTGATAAGACTGAAGGTTGCGAGGTGTGAATAATTGCAGTATTTAAATAAGATCGCAGAAACAAAGGTACGGAGAGTAAATATAGAACAAAGATAACCCCAGACAGGGCCTGTCGTTGCGAGGACAAAAAGTTACTTTGGCATGAAGAGGAAAATTTATCTACCTTTGCGAAGCTTTCACACACCGCGCACATTTTCGCACATTTATATCACCTCTCATTTACTTCGTTTACAAAATGTCTTTCACCTGATTTTATGCCGGGAGTAATGCATTAAAAATTCACGAGGGTTCTGTAAATCTTCCCGCACAGAAGCCACATGTATTCCTGGGCCGAACTTGAAGCGTTAAGTCCACGGTTATAACTGAGTCATTCGTGCCAACTGATAAGGCCTCGAAGCCGACAGATTGCCGACTCGAAATTGGGCACACAGGGACGAGAAAAGCCATTTCCAGCTATATACTTTGGCCAGTTGTTAGGCTCCTAAAACTTTGCTATATCTGTGGGTACATGGGTATGTGTACATAAGAATCCATTTTATACCTATAATCCATTATGACCTATATATCACAAGCTGTCGACTCCGTTGCAATGGCAGTCTGCAAGAGTTGGTGGATGTGGGGCCGACAGTAGGTACATAACTTCATTGCACTCGTTTTTCGGCTTCGGGAGCGACGCCCCCAAACAGAGAACAGCTGTTCTCTTCCACCCTCATCGCCAGGTTAACAGGCTGCTGTTAAGGGCTCACAGAGGTGGGCTAACAGAGGTGGGGTTGAGATAGGTTGCTGAGGGTGGGTCGAATATTGTTACATGAACGCACTGTTCAGCCAGACTATGATAGAACTCAACCCTTTTGATTACTCTAATATTCGACTTTTAATAGCTTGGTCATCTAGTACTTCCCTCTTTATAAATTATAGAAACATTTTCATGTTACACTAAATGAGAAAGATTGTACAAAAAAAGCTACACTAGGCAGATTAATTTAATAAATTCCTTTATATAGCAACTGGTAAAGTGTTTTAATTATCGCGAGAACTCAGAAAGAACGCATTTTGTTTTTGCAATAATTCAACGCACTTTTTTTATGTTGATAATACATTTAAAGCGAATAAAATAAATTGGTTTTGGTCTAATTTACTGAAGAGAGAAGAACTGGAACTCATTGTGACTTCACTGTTAACATTCTACTACCAGCATATGAAAGGGGTCTGTATACTTTGAACTTTTGTGCGTTATACACACAACAAATGCCTCTAGCAATTAATTTTGCAGTGCTCTTGAAGCTAGGTCACCAGTTTGTATTCTATATATATATATAAGTATATATAAAAATATATATACATTTTCCCACATAAATGCTGATGAAAATAAAGCCAGCCAAGTTTGACAATTGTCCGATGGGAGTTGGGCCGGCCGAAAGGCAAATCGATTGTGTAACCAGATTTTTGAGAAGTAAAATTTTTTGAAATAATTATGTTGGATGGAAACCTCTCTATAATAGAATGCAATCGCCCTTTAATTATACCACTTGAGCTCTGATTCAAACTGTACACCATCCAAATCATTAAAATCACACAAACCTCTTTGCTCAAGGCGATACATTAAATCAAGCTTCGAAACTAATCGCTATTTAATGATAAGCAGCCGCAGTTCGGTTTAACCTAGACCAAACTTAACAATCGGGTTGCATTTTAATTATAGAGTTAACTCACGAATACGAACTAATAAATACTCATCGGGCGCCATTAATTAACTAGAACCTGATAGAAAAGACCTCGCCCAATTTGTGTGCGTCCTAAATCGAAAATCAGTTGGGTCCGACAATCAGTTTCCCCTTTAAGACGCCGATGAGATCTAAAATTTGTATGACAAATACGGATTTCTTATAAATTATTTTAAAAACAGATATACACACATTATGTTTTAATAATTTCAAAACAGTGTTAGTTTAGGTAGGGAAATTTTTTTTTTTCTCTATGATCCGAAGCTATAATTTTAGTAGATCTTTCATGTACGCCTTTAAAGGTATCACCCCCTGCGCCATTTCCGCTCATTGAGAAAAGCAAGAGCGGGAAGGCAAGAGAGTGGGACAGACAAAGAAATCCAAGCGAGGGCGAACTAGTCCACAGTGCATTTTCCATTTTCCAGACCTGCGCTGCGTGCGTGTGAAACATGAAAATGGTTGAAATAACAGGTAAGTTAATAAGCTGGCTTTGCCACCGCTCTGCACATAGCATTTCCACTAAATACCGTCCATTGTTTCAGAGAGACGACGCCGGCAAAGGCAGACATGAAGTGCGGCACAAAATAAAACCATTCGTTTCAGTGAACAACCTGTTCAAGGGGGTTCTGCTGCACACACACACATACACACACTCACCTCACAGTGGACAATAACATTTTGTACAATAATTGCACAAGTGTCGCTCGTATTTGGTGGTGGAACAGGTAAGCCGACCCAAACTGGGCCCATATGGGTGGCCACTGGCCAAGTGGATGTTGCCAGCAGCAGATGGCAGTGACAAGTGCTTTTGGTAGATTATGAAAGAGCCATACTAAACCCGAAGTTGTGATGTTGTTATGAAATCGGATACAAGCCCCCAGTTCTCCTACAAAGGCAAGAATTATACTTTATTAAAATATCAAGCAGCCCTAAAGTTACTAATTTTTAGGATCTCCTTGTTGCACACTGCTAAGACTAAAAAATCTTAAACCTGTGAAAATGACAACATACCTATTTAATATCCAGGAGGAATATAAGAAGAAAACCTAAAAGAGTTATAAAAAATGCTTTAAATAAATTAAATTTTCCCTCTGTGCAATTCTGATTACTTCAACGGCTTACAAAATGAGCCAATCAGAAAAACAAAACCGGGCAACTCCAAATGTGCCCCAACATGCATCACAAACACTTTCAACTGAAAAGTAAAAATAAAACAGACAAAAACAACTTCAAGACAAATGGCCATAAAAATGAAAATAGCAACTTTGGAAATTATGCAGCAAACGAGTTTTGAACAGCGGCAGCTTTGGGCAGTTGCTGCGGCGCCAATTTTTCCCGAAGTTTTCAGCAGTGGCAAAGGAAAATGCAAAAAGCTGCCGGGACACCCTTTTTTCCTCGATTTTTCCAGCTGCCGCTATATCTACTGTTATTTGTATCATTAAAAGCGCTTCCGTCTTGCAGGCGAGCTGAACTCACATAAATTGACGCACGAGGCGCGCAAAAACAATAAGATGGGAAAAGCATAAACAAAACAGCAGCAGCGGAAAAACACGGCGAAAAAATAAGGAAATTGGACAATGTCGAAAGGGAGAGAAAAACACTTGGAAAAATATCATACAAGGATTACCAATAATTTTAAATATTTGAATTTTTAATAGTAGAACGTGTTTAATTTAAATAGGATCGAAAAGAAAATTATTAATTTAAACTATATATATTTTGGGAATAATTATACCCAAAAGTGTATATAAAATGTTAAATATTTTCCGTTTTTCTTATTAATTACAGAATAATTGTCTGCTGTGCAATAGGAGGTACAAGGGGAAAAGAAGGAATTGATTTTCATGTGAGCGGTCTGAAAAAATGTCAGTTGTTTGCGGAAAATGCTTGGATAATTGTGTAAAGTCACCGCACTCCCTTCTCCCACGCAACATTTTCCGCTTGCCCTGCCAACTGCAGAAAAAGTTACCTACGACTGTCACCCGGAGCGATTTATTATGACTGTTTTAAGTAATACAGGGGAAAAATTGAAAACCACTTTCAGAAACAAACAATAAAAGTAAGATTTAGTTAAAAAATGATTATAAAAAAATTATTGATGCTATTAAGTTTTTTAAACTCATGTTGATGTTGGTAAAGTAAATAAAAAAATGTAAGCTTTCCCTTGTTTTTGGGAAATTTTTTTCCAAGAAATTATTTTATTTTTACCAAATAATACTTCATTCTTGTCTTTAACGCATTCATAAGTTTCAGTTGTGAAAAACGTGAGACATTTACAGTACATAACCGAGCTTTGAGAGTGTGGACGAGTGTGTAATCTATCCAGCCCTTTCAAATGCCTTTCTCCTATCCCATCCAATCGAATCCAATCGCCCTTGCCGGTGGATTTGTTCCGAAAGTTGACTTTGGCCGGTTGAAAAGCAAATGAAGCATGACGACTGAAATTTTAGCCAAGTGCACGGCTAGCGAAAAATGCGTCGCCCTGTCGCACAACTAGGCAACCCTGGCAACTGCATTCCGCAAATGCAATCAAATCAACTTTCCAATGATGGATTTTTTCTTTCGATTATAATTTAGCAATTTTTCTTCGTTTTTTATTATTACCTTATTAGCTAAAAACCTGTAGCTCAAGTGATGACAATAATGATGATATCAAATAAATGACTAGGTGTCTCAGCGCTGCAAGTTTGAGCGGTGAGAAAATTTTGGCATGCAAAGTGAAAAAAGTTGGGGGAAAAATAAGCGAAAAATGTTTCAAATTAAAAGTTGCGAAGTCAAGATGCAAAAATAAGTTCAATTCAAGTTCCAACACATTTTTTCTTGTTATTTCGATTGCCTTATTTTCAAAAAAACATTTAAGTCTTCTATTTTGATTTCAAATGTTTTAACATTCGATGTTTACAATTTTTTGAAGTATGTATGTACATATTAAATATTTACACTATCACAAGCATCCTGGCCTGTTTTTTGTTTATTTGTTAGCAAAAAAATGTTAAGTTTTTACTTATATATTTTTAATAAATGAATAAGACAATTTTATAGCATTTCATTTCTTTTTTGTTATTTATTTTGGTTGCCCCAATGTGTTTGTAAATATTCAAAAATGTTAAGGTTGCTACAAACAGAAATTCAGATTGTGGTATTTTATATTGAAAATTGTACTGATGAATATGTTTGTTGATTTAGCTGCAAAATTTCGCCCCAAACTGATTCAGATTGCTGTTTTGCTAACAAATTTTCGTAAAATCTTTTTCTTTTTCGGTTTAGTTATTATTTAAATATAAAATACTTACCAGCCAAATTCGGCTCGCTGCAAATGCAGTTTTTTTCAATTTAAATTTTGCTTGGACTCCAGTCGTCTTTGGCGAAAATAAAAGTAGGCATTCATATTATAAAACGGGCACTGCGAAGTATAAATGTTGTTGTTTGGAGCTGTGTTTCGGGAACACATCAAAAATCATTAGAAATTTCTATACTCAGACGAGCAACACGTACATACACACACCCTATACACAGCACCACACGCACACACACACACACACATTTGCCAGCGCGGTGCAGAAAAATAAAACGGAAAACGTGTTTGTTTGTGTATTGTTGTTAGAACCGTTGCTGTTGTTTTTGCTTTTGCTGTTGGTCGCTTATGGCAGTTGTTGTTGCATTGATAGTTGTTTAAACTGGTATTTGTTGGAGAAAAAAACTCTTTTTTTTTTGTGTTATGTACAACTACTTAAGCTGTTGATTATTACTTTACGTTTAAATTTTCCGTGGAATTGAAAATAAATCGACAAACCGCACACACACAAACTTACTAACAGACACCCTCCCACCCACACACACAATAATTAGACCGCGACTGAATGCACATTTTTCCACTGCACAGGTGCAATCTTTTACACTGTTTTCAGTGTAGTTTAATTTAAAACCCGGTTCTTGGTTCGTAAAAACAAACGTTATTTCAACAAATACTAATTTACATATGTGTTTTATTCCGTGCCAAGGGGCGAAATTGAAAAAGCGAACGACCGACTCACATCCGATCGAGTCTGCGGTACACAATTTAAATTTTATTAATTGTGAAATATTCAATTTTAATCAAATTAGTTTGGCATTAACAGCAGTGTGTCCAGTTCCGTAAATTTTAACATTTTGCTGTTCTGGTGGCGACTGATCAACCATAATATAGGAAAAAAGTTGGTATAAAAGTTAAAGCAAACTCAGGCACTTTTTTTTATTTTCACTACCTTGTTTCGGTAATTGTCTAGCTCAGTTTGCTTCAACACGCGTAGTTATTTTGAATTTGTCTCCCGTGCGCACGTCTGGTTCGTTTCGATAAAAAATAAAAATAAAGTTATAGTTATTTCTCGATATACAGACTAGGGCTGCAGAGGTATTAATGACAATATCGATGTTACGATATATCATCGATATATAACATAATCGTGATTAATCGAGCCTGTTCAGCACTATGTGGGAGTGAAACGTTGTTTTCCAATAAGTGCGAAAGACACAGACGCTTTACAGTTTTTTCGTCCGCTGGAGGCGCTTTGAGTGGAATTTGGCAACGGTCGGTTCTTGTCTTTACTAACAGGGTGGTTCTATGCGGGGGTTATAATGATAGCTAGAAAAGATAAGCCTCGAGTATTACTATTACGATAATTTTTTAACACTTTGTTTTTCAAAACTAACCGTTAAAAAAATAATAAAAAAAATCCTAATGGACAAAAATGTGAGTAAAAGAAGTTTTACAAAAATCACAACAAATTTCTGATAACTGCAAGACGAGCCGAAGCTTGTTTCCTTTTTTGTTTAAATCGCTGACTATCAATTCTTTTCGATCTTAATCTTAGAAGTCTTGAACATATACATATGAGTAATATAGTACGTTCCAACTCGGCTTAACATATTTTTTTCATTCTTCAGTTATACTTCAAAAATGTTTTTCTTGCTATCGCCTTTTATTTATAGTTTTTTCCAAGAGTTTTGGAACTGGATATTTCATTCCTAATTTCTTTTTAAAATGTCTTCAACCAACGTAAAGCTTACATTTGTATCAAATTGCACTTTCCTATCGAAAAACCATCGCAATGCCAACATGTATTCACCAGAAGGAAAAGGAAGCTGAAGAAGTTCGTACCTCAAATAAAAATCTTGTATGATCTGTGGACCCTAAAAGCATTCGTAAATGAAAAATTCAATTTCCATAAGTCAAATTTCTTACCACGTAGGGACAAGTGTGGTTGATATTTGTAAATTCCTTGAAAAGCCCGTAGACAATTCCTACAATGGGAATGCCAGGATGTCGCAAGTATTTACACGCATCAAACTTTAGATCAAATAACCAAGGTTTGTAGCCATTAGCCCTCTTTAGAATTTTGCCATGAATCAGTATATTATAAGCTGGGTGTAAAATGGTTCCATTTATATTGAGTAAAACCTTATTGCGACCCACAGCTTTCAAGCGATAGTCGTGAAACACAAACCAGGATGTATTATAGCTCTCACAAGCGATATTGGTAAACTTAAAAACCACAGCATCCTAGGAAATATTGTTTTTTTTTCGTTCTTATTTAACATTTTTAATGAATGTACTTACATTTATATGTATATTACAGGTCAGAATTGCTCCGAGGAGAGCCGGAATAGTAAGCTGACTCCACATTGCAAATAGAGTTGTATTCACAAATCATTTGTTTAAAAAAATATTTTTTAAAACACTGCCCAATTTGTTTTTATAATTACTTAATTTTTCTGCAATTATTTTGCAACTACCGCAGATTCATGCAAAATGTTTAAAAAAATATTTGCTTTTTATTATCATACAATATTTGAGAAGCTATTATAATTTCAGTAGGCAGTTAGCGACGCTGTAATTAACATCATTAGGGTATAATAATGGATAAAGTTCAATCCAGATAAAACGTATTCAGACTTTCTATACCGCAGTGAAGGAGACCGCGCAGACCCCATAAAGTATACAGGGTGCGCCATCTCGAGCTTCGGTATGAGAATATTGAATAACTTTGGAAAACAACAAAAATTCATGGAAAATGTTTTATGTTTATTTAGATTGATCCTTTACAATTCATTTGAGTTAGTTTTTGAAGGGTCTAGAAAAATTCTGGTTTCAGCAGGACGGAGTCCCATGTCACACAGCAAACGAAACCATGGAGTTTTTGCAGCGAACTTCCTTGGATGCGTTGTGTCAAAAAGAGGCGATATCGACTGGCCGGCGCGTTCGCCGAACTTGACCCCGCCGTATTTCTTTTTGTGGGGTATACATAAGCAAGCCCTAGACCATCACAGAGCTCAAGGAGAGTATTCGCACCGAAATAGCCAATATATCGGCCGATATGCTCAAGAAAGTAATGGAAAATGCTCGAAAAAGGACACTTTTTGCCATCAAGAACAAAGGAAGTCACTTAGTCGATATTGCGTCAAAAACTAACTCAAATGAATTGTAAAGGATCAATCTAAATAAACGTAAAACATTTTCCATGAATTTTTGTTTTTTCCAAAGTTATTCAATATTTTCATACCGAAGCTCGAGATGGCGCACCCTGTATATATTCTTGATCAGCAAATACTTTCAGCAAGATAGCTTTAAAACTGAGAGACTAGTTTACATGGAAACGGACAGACGTACAGACTTATTTCGATTCTGATCGTGATGCTGATCAAGAACATACATACATATGTACTTTATGGGGTCGGAGATGTCTCCTTCACTGCGTTGCAAACTTCTGACTGAAATTATATACCCTCTGCAAGGGTATAAAAATAGTTATTTGTTCAAATTGCCTTCACCTTCTTCAATTCATCGCTTTTTCGATAGGACACCCGTTCACAGGTTGGAACCCTTATCGCACGCCGAGGAGCGATGTCGAACCAAACCGTTCGGCATTCATTTTCGTCCCAAACGGATAAGCAGAGGATAACGTTTTCCGAAACGGGTAACACGGGACAACGTTTTCCCAAACGGGTAGCAGGACAGCGTTTTCCAAAAACGGGTATTTCTATGGGAGAATCCGAGAGAGCCACCGAACGTTACCAAACTTACCATGAGTGCAAGTGCAGCAATAGAGTGTGATGTTTAACCCTTGTCCGATACTCCCTCCAGACTAGCGAGCACACCATCCTAACCATGCGAGTACACCCTACCCTAGCGAGTTCACCCTCCTAACCTAGCCAGTGCACCCTCCTTGTCTAGCGGTTACACTCTCTAAGCTTAGCGAACAACATAACAAACACCACCATCCGCCTTACTATGGGACCGAACATCTTTTTTTCTGGTCAAAAACAATTGGAATTCCTGTTTAAAAAGGCCTCAAAGAGAACTTTTTTTAGAGCAACTCAGCAACCTCTGCCAAAATCTAATGAGAAAGTCATGCTCGACGTCGTTAGTTTAGAGAAATATTTAAGAAATATAATTTAAATTATTATTATATAAGTTATAATAATAAATGTATATTGTTTATAAAACATATTAAAGTTTTTTAGTGTGCATGCTATATTTTTTCACATAGTGTTTTTTACTTTTCTGACGATTGCTACGTGAGTTTAGTAACAGCTTTAACTTTCCCGGACAAACTAAATTTAAAAAATGCGATCATGTAGTAATACGCTTTTGGGTTAATTTCATTAACTTCAACATATTGCTGCGAAATGATAATAAACACTCGGTTTATTTAAGACTTTATTCGATACATGTGATTTTTTTTTAAATTTTATTTAACTTTCATATAAAAGCTATAAGTGGCATATGACTGATAACAATATATAAATAATATCCATGGGGTTTTATTCTTTTAAAGCACGAAGGTCTGGGTAGAGAGCTCCGGCGTTTATGTAATGAGATTCCGATTTGCGTAAGTCTCGCTTGTAATCGCTTACCACAGCTTCTCCTGTTCGCTTGACCATTTTCTTTGCGATTCCTTTCGGAGTAATGTAGTTCACGTTTTGGCTGACCACAAAAACATTGCCGACTGTGTCAAAAGTACCACTTGCCAAATTTCCCGCCGGTTGACCATATCTGAAATTTAAACGTTTCAACATGAAAAATGAAATGTTTGGTAAGACAATCCTGGTTTAAAAATTCAGTTTTGAGTCACAGCAAAAGAGTATTTAATCTACTTTTTTTTATATTAATTTAAATTTTATAGATCTAATAACTATATGAGAAATATATACATTTTAGGCAACTCACTTGTGTTCAATTATCTTGACGGAGTTATGGCTAAGGCTGGTGCCCAGAATCTTGGCAGACGTCTCGAGTCCATCGAATACGGTGCTGACACCCTCAACTGCTCCCGCTGCGATGGTCAAAGCCCCCTCCATGGTGCTATTCGCCTCGCTGCTGTCGTAGCCGAATCCCTTCTGAAGAAGCTTGGACCCCTGCTCCTGGATGTGGGGAGCTAGGCAGCGACCCACTGCCACTGAAGCAGTGCCCACCTTTCCAGCTATCCAACCAGTCATTCCCGCCGCTGCATGCGTCACTTTCTGGGCCACTTCAACTACAGTGATAATAAGAGCAAGTTTATTAAAAACACTAAGGAATGGTTTAGTGAAGTTTCAGCAAGATAGCCTTATACTGGGCTTCACCCACCTGAAGTCTGGACAGAGCTGGGCACCTGGGTAGGTGCATCGGCTGAGGCAGGCGACATCTTGGAAATGAGATACGGGGTACTCCTAAGCATAAAGCCTCCAGTTTTTCTCGGCGCCCTTCACCAGGTTACGGGCAATGAAATCAGCCGCACTCACAATGTGTCTGGACACCTGCTCCGATCCGGAGACGGAACCAGAAGCAATGCTAGCACGTTGGGAGGTCGGAGATTTTAGTTGCTCTACCGAACCAGCGAGTACAGCCTCCAATAGGTCAAGGAAAAACTGCTGCAGGTCCTGTAGTTCCTCCTCGGTGCTAAGTGAAGGTTGACCCTCCCTCGTAAGCATCAGGCCGAACGCATTTCCTGGCTGCTGGCACTCCATATCGGGGAAGATAAAGGCTCCATACTCTGTCTGATAACAGTTGGAGACCGAGGGAACCAGGGGGTAGAGCCAAATCATTCCCGTCTCTTGGTCGGGTATGGTGCATTGGATGAAGTAGATGCCACTGAGGTACTTCCATTTGCCTCCCACGGTGCACATAACTAGCGACATAGTCGACGATCCACTTATAGAGGTCACAGTTCCACTGGCCTCAATCCGGTAGAGTTTAGCCTGGGCACGAAATAGCTCATCCAGCAAGGCGTGCGAATCCCGAACGGCCAACAGATCCCTTAGTCCTGCAGCGAGCTCCCTATAAGTCTTTGGTGAACCACTAGCATTTGCTATATCATAATGAGTGCATGGGTTTTCTGCCAGCAAGGGCCTCTTTCCATCCACTTCTGTCCGGTCTTCCAAAGCCTCCACAGCTGAGTGATCAACGGACTGGTTTTTGGATCGCAACACCTTTAGGCGGTAGCTAATTTCCGTTTTGGCGCTCTTGAGTTTTTGGATAAGTGCGCAGGCATCGTTCCATTCGGTCTGCACAGCATCAATGTCATCGGGAAGACCAACTGGAATTCCAAAAACGTCTTCGATCATTTTAAGGGCCAACTCATAGGCCTCAAGTGCCTCTCCTTGGGACTCCTGCTCCTCGTGACTGACGGCTATCTCGACCTGGGCCATGGCTGCCTTGTAGGCTGCGTTGATGCCGGCATAGGCTTCCAGGAACTCATTCTCCTCCGACATAACTGCCTTAAATATCTATGAAAATAAAAAGAAGCGACTCTTATGAGAATGTAATGCCATATTAAGTAAATTGAGTAGGTTACATTCTGCAGGTTTATCAGGTTCGGTTTACATTTTCAAAGAATTTTCTAGAGGTTTGAAATGGTAATAGGAAAAACCCACTCGATATGAGAGATTCATCCTGACGTGGCGGTCAGCCAAATCCAACTGAAAGGGCCACCTTTGTGGCTAAAATGCGTCATGAAATTGTCAACAGACAATCTCTTCATCTTCCCTTGTCCGAATTTAAAGGGTGCAGCTGCTGCTCGTAATTGAGTTGTGGCCAATTCGCATTTTCTTCCGCTTTTTTGCTTCCTAGCGAATGTACTTCTTGATTCTGTTGCACTCACCTTTGGGTTTTATGTACGACTGAGATTCGTTGTTAAATGTTGATGCACTTTGCCCCAACAACTCATCAGTATGTTTATAAAAGATGGAAACGATTTATTTGCTTCTGATGATTTTAAAAATTCCTAACCAATATGTATTTATCCAGGCCATACCGTAACTTTAACAAAAGGATTTTAAATATCTTTTACTAAAACTCTTTAAAAACATATCAAACTGTCGGTTTAAATTGAACTTTTCATGTTCTGGGTTTTTTCACTTTTGTTTTGATTCGTTTATTCGCTTCCAAGTCGCATCAGCTGCTTGGGAGGCCTATACACGTTCATTCGGACTGTTACTTTGACTATCGCCAAAATTTAATTTTTTTTAATTTAATTATAAATTATTTTTATATTTCCACGGCAATAATAATAATATGATATTATTAATATTGTAAGTTATTATTTTTTTTTTATATTTCAACGGTGATAATGTATATGATTTTAATAATATTGTAAGTTATTAAATTATTTTCATAAATAAATAAAAAAAATTGAATAAAAAGATTTTAAGAACAGGTGTTCACAATAAAAAACAATTTGTCTGAGAGATATAGAATCTAGATTCCAGCAAGATACCTTAAATGTAATCTTGTTGAGACCAAAAACAGTTTAAAGCGTTTTAAATATACAATGCACAATTTTGACGTTTTTTGAGGCAAAAGTTGACACTTTTCTGAACCTAAAAATTACATATGTTTGTATTATACATTCTTGATCATCACGAGGCGAATCAACCATGTCTGCCTGTTGCTATACCGGTTATCAACTTGAGCTTTGGCTCTTGTTTAATAAAATAACTTGTTCATGTACTTATAATTTTATAAATTTCTTCGCGCCTTGGTATGAACAAAGAAGGTTTTTTGATAAACGGCATTAAAAGTTTATACTTTGAGTATGGAAAACTTATTTAAGACTTTCCCAAAACAATATACAAAGCTACCTCAGACCAAGTAAAATTTCGTTTTGTGTTATTTATTTCGTTCTTTTTATCATTTTTAAAATACAATAAATCCTTTAAATATTTTTTTGTGGATCCTAGTTTGAATGCACAAAATTACATTTCGGTCGATTCGGACAACGTTCACATCCTGTTTTTTGCAGGGGGCTGGCGGCCGTGTGGGCCGAATATACACGCATATGTATGAAACATATGCAAAATTGAATAACGAAAATAATCTATTGGAATTTGTGTGTGATTGCGATGGCAATTGGATCCAATCCATACAACATGTCAAATTCTAAGGAGGCGCAGACTTTTGTCTTCGGGAGAAGATTTTTTGATTGAAATCACAATATATATAGAGTTTATACCCCGATTACTCTATCGTACACATAAATATAAGTATGCGTGTATGTATGTTTTTAACGTATAGTTTGTAATGCATTTGGGACGACATTTTCGGTCAGATGAAAAATAATGATAACGAGTAGCTGAAGCTTCCATCCTTCCTTCCTTGCCGAGGTCCCCAGGACTGGGGGGTTGGGCCAAAAGAAGCTTGGGACTACGGTCCCCCTTAGGCGGTTGCCACGTTCGCCAACTCCCGGTAGGCGTCTTGCAACGCCTGCTGCTGCTCTGGGCTAAGGGTGCTAGCACATGCCGCCATGACGTCCGGGTTGGACTCGACCTGCTTGACAATGGTGAGCATGCGTGTGCCGGTGGCACTTTGCGCCTCCAGCACCTTGGTGCAGAATGCTTCAGCGATGATGGAGACGATGCGTGGCAGATTGCAGTTGTTGGCGCCAAGGATAACCGGGTGGTTGCCCTCAATAAGGTCGCAAAGGTAGCCATAGATGTGGGCGGCCTCCTCCGGGTCCTCGGACACTGGCAGCCAAGAGAACCATGCTGCGATCAGCTCATCCACGTTGGTCAGCGCCGACTTGTTGTATTTGAGGATCTTGGCAAACGCCGAAATTGCATTCTCTGTCGCGTTGATGTTCTCAATTTCGCGGGACTTGGGATCGTTGATGACCTGCACCAGCAGTGGAATGATCTGGGCGCAAGTGAGCGCGAACTGTTCGCCGGCGAACTGGCCAAGCACTCCGCATCCATAGGCAGCCGCCTGGCGCACCTCCGGCGATTTATCCCCCACGTATTGCAGTAGGGCTGGCGTAAAGATCTGCTGATAGGGTGCACATGCAGGGCCACAAAATTCTAAAGAAAAAAAAGAAAACAATAGTTTGTTAATTAAGTTGTACCTTTGGTAGACAGTTTTGCTTATCTTAAACCACTTACCGATCAGATCATCGAATACGCACACGCCCCACTGGCGATCAGCGACAGATCGACTGGGTTCCAGCAACTTAACAAAGTGCGGAGCCACCTGCTCAAAGGCAGGCAAAAACTGGGCCTTGTTCGTCTGGAAGAGGGCATGTGTGATGTCCACTATTTTGGAAAGGATGTAGACGTCAGTGTCGTCCTGCTCGGCCAGCTCCTCCTCGACCCCGTCGTCATAGTCCTCCTCGTTCCGGGCAGCCAAGCGCTTGTCAGCCCGCTCGAAATGCTCAGTCACATACTTGTTGATGATCTCGAGAACCTGCTTCATGGCATCCTCGTTAAGGCAATTGGGTCCCAGGGTCTCAATGCATTTGGCCAGCGAGTTGAGCAGCTCAGACTGCACTTCCGGCTCCGGTTCCGTAGTAATCACCTTGAGCAGCTCGGGGCAGATGAACAACCACATGCCCTCAAGATACTGCGGACCCTTGATCTTCGCGCAGTCGAGAAGATAAGGCAACGACTCGGCAGCCGCTGTGCGGACACCATCGTGGAAGTAGAACTTAAGCATGGGAAGCATTTGACGCACCACCTCTTCGGCATACTCGGCAAAACCTTCCTTCAGTTCCCTGGCATAACAGACCAGCATCTCACACGCTGAGGCCTTGTCATCCATGCCAGCCGTACGAATGGCGAAGTTCTGCTGCTCTCCAAGATTGATGAAAGACCAGTCGACATCCCCCTCGATATCCTCCACCTCGTCGTTGTCCAGCATCGCCACCTCGGGCTTCATGGTGGCGGTCCGCATTACGGGACCCATAACGACGGGCAGGTACTGCTCGAACTGTTTGCCAAGGATTTTGCACATGCGAGCCCAGGCCGTGATCAGATAGGAGGTCTGCGGATCATCATCAGCCAGCTCTCCTCCCTCGGTGTGATTGACCAAGAGCATGTCCATGATCTCTCCGGCATCGCCGATGAACTTCTCACGGCCGACCGCCAATCCAATCAGGCTCACGCACTCAATGGTCTTTCCACGAAGCATACGCAGATCATCCGAGTTGGCATTCTGGATGATGAACTTAAGGCATGGCATAAGGCGGTCGTAGTAGGCAACAAACTCCGCTTCGCAGGTATCCGCTACAGAAGCTATGGTGGTCACCACCTGCTCCAAGACCAACTTGTTACCCTTCTCTACGAGCTCCTTGAACTTCGAGTTCAGTATGGTCTCCAGCTTGGCCATGATCCCGTCCAAGTAGCGTGTCAATATGTTCTTCGGGCAGTCCTCGCTAAAGTTCACCAGAGCAGCACCGGCGTGCGCTTGCACGCGGGGATTCTCCACGTCGTCCAAGAGGGCCAATAGACCGGGAATGACCTGGATGAATGCAATGTTGTAAAATTATAAAATGTACACTATTGAATAAACGTACGACATCGTTATGATATAAATAGTAAAACTGCATTATCAACTAAAACGGCTAACGTGGATTGGTTAAATGTTTACAACAGTTAACAGACTTTGTTTGTACACAGACTCCTAACCATTGTTTATATATTATGGCAACAATCTGAAGACAGATTTTAAATTACATTCCAGCTAAGAAATTAATCAAAACATTTCAAATAAGAACATTTAGTCCTAATATGATATGAGGTACATTTGGTAAAACTCAATTTTTACTTTCCTTTAAGATAAACTTGGACAGTTATTAGAAAATATTTACCTGGCTGTGGAACTTCTTTTCAAAGGTCGGTGCAAAGTCGGTAGACATTTGGCCAATGGCGTTGCAGGCGGCGTAACGAACGCGAGGATGGGGATCCCTTAGGAAGTTCAGGACTCCAGTCATAACCTCGTCCAAAATGGCCTCCATCTGCTTGAGGCAGCCCTCACCGATGGCCGAGATGGCCATGAGGGCGGCGAAGCGATGCTTCCAATCAGCATGACCCAACATAGCAGGCAGGGCACTCATAACGTGCGGAAGAACAACCTTTCCTCCCAAGCCGCAGGCGAGGCGATCCAGTGAGGATTCGGCGATCACGTTGTTGTCGCTGTGATCGTCATCATCGACCACATCGGCGGTGGACCAGTTCTCGTCCTCATCCAAATCGGTCATCATGTGCAGAATTAGCGGGATCAGAGCCACGATGTACTTATCGGCCCGCTTGCGTACCATTGCAGGGGCGTTTTCGGCCAGCGAGACCATAACCTCGAGGACAAGGTGCCGCCAGCTATCCTCAAAGTCCTGCGAGCTGAAAACCTTCATGCAGACCTCGAAAATGAACTCCAGTTGGGGGCGCAGGAACTTTGGGCAGTTCTCGGTCATCTCGATGAGGAGCTTTAGCAGGCTCTGGTCGTCCTGGCCCTCGATTGTCTCTCCAGTGATGTGGATCATCCGGGGCAGCATATCCGCAAAATGCTTGTAGATGGCCGTCTCCTTCTCCTTGTCGTGATAGAGAATAAAGGCACCGACGGCTCGCACAGCCTGGACTCGGACCTCCGGGTCGGAACTGGCGTCCATACTCTTGGCCAGCATCTGCTTGATTAGGTCAATGTACTGAGCCTCTTGGTTTCCAAATATCGAGGGCACACTGGAGAAGACCCGTAGCGCTGATTCCTGCAGCTGGGGCGTGGGCGAGTTCGCGCACTGGAAGAGAAACTGCAGAACGTCCGGCCACTGGTTGTTGCAGTCCTCGTCGATCATGTTTCTGGCCACCTCGGCCACCACCTCGCAGATCTTTCGCCTCAGCTGCGGAGTTACCTCCTGCTGCACGGCCAGAAGGATTTGTTGGAGCAGCTGGGTCTGTGACTCAGCGGGAATCTAAAATGGGGGAATCATTGGTCAAACATTTTGGTGAGAATTGATTTTGGTTTGGTCTGCTTACCTCTTTGTAGAACTCCAAGAACTCGGTAGTGAACAGACGGCGCAACAACACAGCGGCCATCTGGCGAGCCTCCTCAGATTGCTGACCATTTTGGATATTGCCCAGGAGGTGCGTCACCTTCAATTCCCTTGCCAGATTGTTATACGCTTCCTGGAATTCGAGAATCAAATACCCAAACAGGGAAACTTGAGTAAGAATTTTCGATCCGGTATAATAATATCGGTCGAATCATAATAACACTAATGCAGATATGTTAATATTTTCATAAACAAGTTAAATTCAAAAAAAAGACAAAAAATTGTATTAAGAAGGCTTCTATCAAATATACATTTTTATTAAAGGAACCTGATACAGTATTCCATTTTATCTAATTTTAAACTTCTTAAAAAAGTTGGAAGATTAAATGATCCTTAACTGCTGAGATTGTAAAATAAATTAAATCATTTTAATTTTATTTTGAACTTATTTAGATCTTCCATAAATTAAATAGGCTTGAGTCATTTTTCTGTTCCAGGAACTAGACTACATTGATTTTTTTTTACTAAGAAACTGTTTTCTTCAAATAATAAATTCTTTTTGAATATTTCTAGGAATAAAAGTGTAGCCGATATGGGAACTGCATATTTTGACAGCTTAGTATTCCATGGCGATTGGAAGCGGTACCATGCCTGCCATCTGTCCAAGGTCAACAGAGTGGGTGGGGTGTGTGCTGTAGATGGGGTGGTGCCATGTGGCGCCGGAACGAAAGAACGGATCCGAGCGCCTTATCAACCGACAGATTGCATTTCCCACAGTGTGTGTCATGGACTTCGCCACCTGCTCTTTGTTTCCGTTTGTGGCGGTGTTCCACTGGAAAATCATGTGGCGGCCATGCAAATTGTACAATTCGGTTTTGATTCTACTTTGTTTGCCTATTCGCACTGCCTCTCGTCCGTCGCTCTGTCTCTTTCGCACACATGCGAATGTCGAAAGTAAAGCGGAGGGCGAAAACACGTTTTGTGTTCGATGATTCAGATCCGTCAGACTCGCAAATTTCAGCCGAAATATTCGCATGCTGCGGAACATCCTATAGATGGCAGCTGCCCCGCAATTTCGCCTATTTCTACGTCCATGTGTGCCCATCTGCAAATTGCGCATCGAAAATTCGAGGCAAATTTTCCAATGCGATCCCCCGCCCCTCCCAACAACCGGGAACGGTGTGACTTACCTCCGCCTGCTGGCGTACATCATTGTCCGTGGACAAAAGGGACACCAGGAGCTGTTGGAACTGAGCCTGATCCGCTGCCATCTTATCCTGTTTGACTCCAAGTGACTCCAAGTGAAACGAAACAAAATCTCGATTTTCTCTTCAGTCCTCACGCGACGGCGGCCGCCTAAAAAAGAGCAGAACTGACTGGGTTGCCGAGGGTCGCTGTTTCGCACAGTGCACTTTTGAGTCCGCAGTCACCGTGACTTTGTCGTGGGTGGCTATCGCTGATAAGCGACGGTGGCGAGTCAGTTTATTTTCAGCTCTATTCACGTTTATCCAAAGTTTTATAAATTTCGTAAGGCATGTACTGAATTATCGATGCAGCGCTGTGACAACACTGCTCGTTATCGATAACGCCAATGGTTTTTGGCGCGCAAGCGAGCTGTCGTACCTGTGGTGCCAACTGTCTGGCGGGCTCAGTGAATTGGTTAAAAAATTAGCTAAATTTGAAGTTTAAGCGGGAAGTCGCTGAGCGGCATTACTGGTGTGCATTGCTTTGAACTTCAAAAGGAATAGAAGTGAATTGATTTTGTAATATTGGTAACCGGTTTTTCAACTTTCAGGAAATTCTAAGATTTGGAAACCCACAAGTTAGTGATCTTGTTTTTACATCTAAGTTAGTAAATTTCAAAACTTCAAACTTGTTAAAAAAAAACAAGCAGACTTTGTGGAGGCTTTCTTAAAAAATTCGGAGTAAGGGCCGTAAACAAAAATATTATCTGTGTCAAAAAAGGATACTTAATTTTCATAACTTTTTACTACCACTTTTATTTACACAGAATTATTAAAATCATAAAAATTACATAACAACGACGATAATGATTCCATTACGCATTAAATTTGCTACTGTTCTTGTCTTTTGACCAGACGTTTAAGATTGGTAAAGAGGCGCAGAGTGAAGTGGTAGATCATCTCCACCATGCTCAAGATGGAGAACCCCATAAATAGACCGAAGATACCTCCGCAATTTGCCAGGAACTCGGTCATGCCGTACAGCTCCGATCGCTTCGAAGTGATAAACTGGCTTTGCTTGAAGTATATAGACAGACGGGACATCTGGGAGCCGGGATACTCCTGCAGGAATTCGGTGTCGCCCTCGGCCAGAAGCATTTCCTCCAGGTCGAAGTTGGCCTGCGAGATCTCTGTATTGTAGACAAGCGATGTACAGGCGGGCATGCAGTTACAGGCCGACTCCACGCCCCGCGCATCCTCGCGAGCGGCATTTAGAGCCCTCACCCTTTTGAACTCCCTGACCAACAGCTGCCTTTCCGCCCGATCGTAGCAATAGATCTTGTCCTCTCCGCACACAGGCATATCCATGTTCCTCGGCATCGAGAACTTCACGCATCCGCACTTGGTCAGCGTGAAGTTGGCCAGGCATTCCAGCTGGCAGTTGGACTCGGTGTACACCTTAAAGAAGCGCAGCGATCGCTCGTGGCTGAGGAAGCACTGTCTCCGGAGTGGATGGTACTCGGCGATGCCCGACGACATGGTGATCATGCTGGGCTTCACAGCGATTAGCACCTCCTTGCCCATGGGAATGCGGACAAACTGCTTGGACACCTGCGGCACGTCGTCGGGGGCATGAAGCAACACCTGGAAGTTAAGAACATGTTAAATGACTTTCAATTGGTTATGGGCCGTGACTAAAATTTAAGTAGTTATATTATATTTAAGTAGTTTTATTCCTCTATAAGTTATAAATGAACAAGAAATTTTTATTAAATTACCATATTTCTGGGTATGTCAAAAACATTAAATAACTTTTGGGTAGCTCATCGACTGAATTACAGATCATGTGTGATTACCTAGGTTTCCCATTAACTTGTGACTTTACTTACTGACAATTAAGTCATTTACTAGTCGTCCTACCTTAAACCCCTGCACAGGTCCTCGGCAGGCATAGTCCACCTCCTGCTTAAAGCTTTGGAGGGCCAGGAAAATGCCAGATCGAGCTCCGGCACTCAGAACCCTTGCCGGAAAGGTTTCAACGTCACTTCCGTGCGCATAGCCCGTTTCCAGTGTCCAAGGCGCGTGCTGCGAGCTTATGTTCTCCATTTCCAAGGACTCCCCGCTGTGCCGGTACTGGTAGGTGTCCTCCCGGTAGATATCCGTGGCGCGCAACCCGTTAAAGGTGTAGCAGATCCCCTCCTCGGTAAGGGTCTTTCGGAAAAACTTCTCGCACTCGCCGAAGCGACTGAGCCAACGACAGTAAAAGAAGTACCGATCAAACTGGGGTAGCATCCGCTCCAAAATATCAAAGTAATCCAGGTCGTCACCGGCAATCAGGGGCATGTCCTCATCTATGATCTGGGTGTTGCAGACATGCAGTAGCGTGCGAAACTCCTCCATCTCCAGGGCACTCACGTTTTGGGGCTTAAACACCCGAGCAGCTCGCATTTCCTCGCTAAACTGGCTGTACAGATCCGCATAAGTTGTCTCCTTCCCTGCAGTAAAAAGTTATTATGTTAGATATAATATTTTTACCCTTAAATTATTTAGTTATTTGTTGGCTAGTCTGAAAGCTGATCCCATTTTCAACAGCGCAAATTTACAAAATTTTAAAAACTTTGAGACATAGTGCTACAGCGTTGCCAGTTTAGCTTGTTTATAAGCTAGATTTTTAATAAAATAAGCTAGAATAAGCTAAAATTTTCCAGTTTTAAATGCTATTTTGATGTTATGTTATGTTAAATCTGCGGTTATACACTTTGAAACTGGAAAATTTTAGCTTATTCTTGCTTATTTTATTAAAAATCTAGCTTATAAACAAGCTAAACTGGCAACGCTGGTTGGGGTCGAGCCTCGGGCAACTGCCCCCAGAATGCGCGCTCAGCAGATCCGATCTGCAAGTTGGCAGTTTTTTTAAATTCTTTTTGCGAGTGTAATTTAAGTAATTATGTATGTACATTCGGTTAGGACTTTATACATTTTTGTAAACTATTAATGTGGTAAAAAAATATGTAAATTAGTTTTCAACAAACCTTTTTGCTTTAAAACCCGCTTGGTCTCCGAGCAAACAGTGACCGCAGGAAACGGGATGTTCCAAACGGGTGTAGATTTCTCCGCAAAGCTTACAATTACCGGCTATATGATAAAGCATGTTAGAAATCGAAATTTAAAATAATAATTAAAAAAAACTTGTATATTGGATAAATCGTATCACCCAGAGGAATGAGGTGTTGCTTTAAGAGATGATTGATCTTAACGTTTGAACTGTTTATATAAATTACAAACTCTTTTCAAAGCAAGGCATTTTGGTCAGTGCATCGAATATAGTGCAAAGTTTACCAACAACATTTAAAATATTCGTACATTCATACAAATAAACATTTTTAATTAAACATATTTTTTTTAAGCTAAGGATTACAACTGAAAAGTTTTCTTTTTTCGGAAGCTTTTGTTGTTCGTACTCTATACTACCACGGACTCTAACCGTTTCAGTCCATTTGGTGTAAGCACTAGCGATCAGGGTGGAACATCCATATATTGAAATCAGGAACGCTATCAGCCAGAAGATCCGTTCGCGCAAAGGTCGCTCCCGTTCACCAAGATACTGAACCCCGTGGATGGAGGTGTTCTCGCAGTACTCATGGTACGTGGCGAGCAATCCCTCGTAAGCAGTGGAACCCTGCTTTGATTTCTTCTTTCCGGTCAGATCGATACCCGCGCTGGTACTCTCAAGATCGAAATCGGATACAGTCATGCTGGAATTTACTCCACTCGTTGCTCGCACAAACACGACTCAAACAAACAAACAAAGACTTCAAAACGTAAAGAATGACTGCAAAATATAAATTTACCGTTTCTTGGCGGACCTGCCAAACCGTTCGCATTTCTTCACTTGACTGTTAAAACACAGTTCTAATTCTGTTAACCAAATTCTAAGAGTTCTTCCATTAGCATTGACCCATAATTTTATTATATTTATAATTTAATAACATAGTTATATAATAATTAATATAATAGTATATGTATTTTAAAATATATTAATAGCATATGCATGAAAAAATACATATCCTTAAATGGTATTTTTTTCGGTACATACATAAAAGGAGGTAAAAAAGTGTTACTTTTCATATGCAACCATTTAAATGGTATACAAATATTTTATGTAATTTTATTTTATGTTATAAATGTTTTTTAATTGTCCAGTGTTCGAGACTTAAACCCCTTACCGCCTATTACAAAATGTAAATTTTCGCATCATCTTATGCAGTGTAAAAGTGATGTTAGGGTTGCTTGAGTAGTTTATAGCATCACATGGCCCGGCAAATTTAGGTAAAACTGCAACTTAGTATTTCTGTATATCCAAGGTCGAGAGCGTTTAGGTATTGGTATTGTTTTTGTTTACAAATATAAATAGGAAAGGAAAGGTGGAACATATCCTAAAATGTCTACGAGAACTTGCGCCTACAAGGACTGCGAATATTATTACGACATCCACGATAACGCACTCACCAAAGGAAGAACCCTGTTCGCCTTTCCCAAACAAAATGAGAGGGCGAAAATCTGGCACAAAAACGGACGGGTGCATCCGAAGATCCCCCAAAACCAGCTATTCATGTGCTCTCTTCACTTTGATCGCAAGTTCATATCCTCCTCTAAAAACCGGACACTCCTCGTGGGCGAGGCGGTGCCGTATCCTTACCAAGAAAGGGATTCGGAGCCGGAAGAAGAGCTACAGCAGGTAGCCTCAACTTCGCAGGAGAGGTACTTTATAAATCTAAGCGATGACGAATTAAGCATCAATGTAGACACCACCTCGAAACAGAATACCCTCGATAAAGAGCGTGAGTACTCTATTTTTGTGTGTACTCTTGTGTATTGGATCGGTAATTGTGTTATTTCAATATTTTACTTTGCAGTTGACTTCGAACTTGAGGCTCCACTCGCCAAACGCCCAAAGAGTACAGTCGCTGCCCCCTCTGTGAAGGATACTCCTCCAGAGGCTCCCAGTCTGGCAGCGGAACCGTCTAGTATTAAACTAGACCTTATTGAGGCCATCGATATTTCCGAGGTGTCCGTGTTTAATTTCAAGGGCCAGGAGTACGTGCAAATGTCCATGGAGTATTATTTAAATGAGAAACGAAAGTTGGTGGAATTGCTGAAGGATTACAAGGCTGCTCTGCGGAGTATTAAGAGTCATGTTTCCCAGTTGGACCTTTGACACAATCAGAAGGATTCTTATTTCCGTAGACTTATTGACTAGGTTTTGTTGGTGCTTGATGTTTATCTTACTTTGAGAACAAGGAAACTGATAATTTACAATTAATAAAGAATAAAATGTATAATTTATAAATTAATAATTTTATTTACATTTTAAGTTTCAGTGAAAAAACACTTGGTTAAAGTCGAACTTCTTTAGGGGAAATATTTGTAATTTTTAAACAATGAATGCTTAACAACATGGATGCTATTTCGATTTGTTTATACATACATATGTACACTTTCCTTAATAGTAATAGCTCTGTCTCTTTTAATCTTTTGTAGAGGATTTATAAAAGAAATTATGAATCCTGCCGAGTTGATCAGACGTTTAGAAACTTAAACTTAATTTTATATTAAATTTTCTAATTCCCCAAGTTTTAATTTCTGATGTTTCAAATGTTCCGTGAGTTTTTGAGCTTACTTCAAGATTTTCATCTCTGTTTTTTAGGTGGGTAATTAATTACCCAGTGGCTAGTAATACCAATAGTACCACGTCTACCGCCGGCCCTGTAAACGGCAAGATTCATTTACATAGTTATAATAGCAATCCTATAAAATTGAAAATTTGTGAGGTCGTCACCCCACTCAAAACTGTTTCTCCGGCCCTGGGTGGTGGTGTTTTGGGTTTAAGGTGTCTCCTTCACTGCGTTGCAAACTTCTAACTGTAATAATAATACCCTTTTCAAGGATGTAAAAAGCAGACATTATGGTTAGCACATAAATTTGCACAAAGCTCTAAAAGATTGTAGTTTTAGGTAGGAAAATTCTTTATTAATTATATGAGAATAACAGGAATGACAAATAATATTGGAGTCAATCGCTCGTCTGAATGCCGTCTTCCTCATCGCTGTCCACATCAGGGCCATCGCTGAGATCCTCATCTTCGTCCTGCAGTTCTTCTGCCACGCCTAACAGGAGCCGTTTGCGCTGGAGGAGGGCTGCCCAGCTAAGTCGAGTCTCACAAAGTGGGCATTCCCCTCCTCGGGGGATATAGTGACCTGGCTCATCAGTCAGGAGATAGTTGGCTAGGCACATCATGTGGCAGGTTAGGCGACAGGTAGGGTTTGTACAACCCAGGCGGGATCTTTCCGGCTGCTCGATGCGCTCCATGCAAAGGTGACACTCTGCCGCCCAAGCCACAGGAGGAGGACGCCCTGCATCCCCGCCTCTCTTACGTTGGGAGGCACTGATTGATACTTTTCCACTAACAATTTCCATGTGGGCAGGGAGTAGCACATCAAATGCTCTCTCATAGTCCGGTTCTAGCCAGCGAACGGTGAGTGGCAGTCGGTTCCAAGGGCCCACTCCCAACATCCTGCTGAGGATCCTAAAGTTGTAGTCAAAGTGCGTCTCCCTGGGCGCCTTCCGCTTTAACTCTGGATACATTTTAAGTCTGGTGGAGAGCGAGGGCTGCTGCCAAGCCCACTCAAACTGAAGGGCTACGATGTTGTTGGGGAATCCGTGCACGATCATCACCATCTGCCAGGGCCCCTTTCGGCTTGTTTTCCTTGCGCCGCCGAAGTCACACCCAAGATTGTGTTGCCGTATTCGTCGCTTTGGGTTCACGGTGAAGCCAACGTAACACTTTCCGCGGTATCGAGAATCCAAACTCTGGCTGCAGAGCAAATAGACCCCGTAGAAGTGACCTTTGAGGGCGACAGCTTCATCCTGCTCCGAAACTTCATCCTTTGAGGCTGTGAAATTATGAACAAATAATTAATGCACAATCTTTAAAAATACAAAACAAAACCAAAAAAAGAAAACAACCAGAGGAGGCGACAACCAAACCATTAAAAAGGAATTGTTAACTATTTTTTTAAGCTTACCTGAATATGCATTCTTCGGCCTGTTTTGTAATATATTTAATTTGAATTGAACTAACCATAAATATATATTTAAATAACCATTCCTCACTACAACTAAAAATGAATTTGGAAAACTTTATGTTTTTAATATCTAGGTAAATATTCAATTAAAAGCCTGGCGAAACAATCGACATTTTTCCCGTTTAAGTGGCATTAGAAAAACCTAAACCCTTTATCCTTGCACTTGAAATAAGAATTATTGAAATTCTTGGGCTTAAACTATTTTATTGGTAAACTTGTGGTTGCCAGCGCTAGTTTAACTCTAGTTTGATGTTGGCCGCTGATGCAAGACCATTAATCTGTTGCTGCTGCTGGGGATTTCCCGCTTGGGTTTGAACAGGCTGCAGAGCGGTTGCCGCCGCCTGGCCATCCGCCGTGGCAGCTGCTCCGTTTACGTTGGGCGTGGCTGCCGCTGCTTCTCCTCCCGTTGCAGCCTCGACGCCATTCGCCTGCTGTTGCTGCTGCAATTGCTGCTGTTGCTGCTGGGCGGCCGTCACGTTCTCGATCAGTTTGATCCGCTTGCGAGTGTAGTGCTGCCACTGGAGGATGGCCTGGTCATCTATGAACTTGCAGCACTGCGAGTTGACAATCTCGCGGCGGAAGTGCTCGTACTGCAGTAGATCAAGAAAGTAGAGGCACATTGGGTACATGAGGTATTTGGCATAGTCCGGCTCCTTCCAATACTGCAGATACTTAAGGTAGTTGATGAACGACTGGTCCTTGAAAAATCCGCGCTGCGCTAGGACTGGCAAAAAAAAATCCATCGGTTAGATATTTCTAGTTTTTAAGCTGTGTAAATAATATATAAGATGGGTCGCGGTCCCGACAAGTTTGGGAAACACTGCTCTAGGGGTCTGTGTTATCTGATCTAAATAAGATCAATGCTATCAATGCCAGGCGGTGATATGGACTACGTACAGTTGAGATAGTTGGGGTTGGACAGGCACTGCACGAACTCCAGCTCGATCTGCCAGCGTCGCTTCTGCTGCTCCTCCGACTCGATCGCAGCTACAGATATAGTAGATATGGAAACATTAGTCGGAGACCCAAAACGGACTTTAGTAGATCACTGAAGATTTTGGCATGCCAAGCGGGTGTCAGTAGGTGTTAGGTTGCAATGCAATAGTGCGTGTGGATTGGCGTTTACTTACTCTTACCCTTTCCGTACATTTTGGCCATTTTGGACTTGTCTTTGGAAAGGGTCTCGTTGGTTCGGTATTTGCGTCTATTCAGTTTCGGTGTCGGGTTGGGTTTCTTGGTTTTCTTTCAGTGTGCTATGTGGATGTGGCTGAGGCTGTGTGTTCTGGTGCACCATCGAGTTCAAAACGAAAAGTCACAGTAAACAAAAACACACAAATAATAACAATAATAATATGCACTCGCTAATGCAATAACAAAATGTATGGGACGCGCGGCAAATGACAGAGGCAGAATAACGAAACAACGAAAGTTTAGATCGAAATCAAACTCAGGGCACGGAAAATAGACGACCAGGGATCTGGGCGCGGGCGGCAGGTTGTCGCTCCTTTTGTGTGGGTGATTTCTTGTGGGAAAGCGGTCTAATTCAATTTTTAATTCTGTCTACAAACCGTAGGAGTTCATTTGGATATCTGACGGCCGGAGACAACCCTACTTCTGTGCTAGAGTTGGCAAACGATTTTCGGGCCAATCAGTTTTAGTATTTTTTTTCTCACGTACTAGTACAGAAAAGTAGAAAACAAAAAAAATCATAAACGTTTGCCACAGCAGCGAGGGCTTAAGCCATTAATGCTATGGGAAAACACTTATTTAAAATTAAAAATTTTTTTGGTTGTTTTTTAAGAAAAAAATATACATACGCATATACTTATACATATATTTCACAATTAAACTATACTTATAAAATTATTAACAGCTGTCATCAGTTAATTTGCCTATAATACCTAAATACTACTATTAGTATTTAAATGCCAGATCACCCCTAATGTGTCTATCATTCAGTATTTTTCTTAACACATGAAGAACGCTTGAGATATAACCACTCCATCCCTGACTTCTTTGTCAGACAAACGCGAGGAAAAATTGAAATTTTACAAAAAAAACATATCTCATTAAATCAAAACCACTAAAGGCACCATACTGAAAGAACAAATTACAAAGAGATAGCGCCATAGAGCTGTATAAAATACTCTTTGTGCAGGAAAATAACCTAGAAAATTGTACCGCGCCCGTTTCTAGGCCAAGGAGCTAGTTGGACTGCGACGCAAAAGGCGTCACAAATGTAAGTAGAAGCTAACATCTAATTTGGTTTATATAATAAAACTGCATAAAAATAAATATGACCCCATTGTGGAGGAGTGAGTCAACCTCCTACATCAGAAATCGCGTTTTTATGAAGCGTCTATAATTAGATTACAGTGAGGTCTGCTCACAGGCAACCCTGAAAAGCGAGTATGTATACAGCTGCCGTCCAAACAATAAATAGGTTATTAAAGAGTTATATTTTCCCATTTGTTAGCTGATCAACAGTCTTATTTTATTGAAAAAAGATTTCCATATATGGATATTACTTTTCTTTGCCTAAAATATAGTTTTTTTAAAACGCTGGACTGAGGGCTGTTACCATGAACACAGCTGTATTTAGGGGGTGCTTAACAATATGCATTTCCACATTGCCTGCAGTTTCTGCGAGCAGCTGCAGATTTATTGGTGGATTTTTGAAACGGTTGCGTGAGCTTAGCGTTTATGGATGTCAGCTGGCGTTACCTGTCCTTGGGATACCCTTTGACCTGTCCTACCTGCCTGCCTATAAAACTCATTCCGATTTTCCTTTCCATTGCAGTTGCAAACCAGTTTTTGGCGCTGAAACACACTCACACGCTACCGTTCAAGTGTCAAGTGGAAAGCAGAAAAAAAAGACAGATTTACAGGATCAATTTATCGAAAGAAAACAGCAAGGAACCATGAACACTGGGATTTCTCTAAATGAGCGCTTTACGCAAATGCAGTCAAAGCAGCCGCCGCAGGGACGCGGTCGCAGCCGCTCGAGGAGCAGGAGCCGCCGCATCGTGGACAGCGGCGCCGGAAACCCGGGAGTGTCGGCAGCCAACTCCCGCCTTTTGCAGGAGTTCAAGCGGCGCCACACCGCCCAGACGGCTCTCAAGCTGAAGCGCGTACGTGTCCCCCCCCAAAAAAAAACGATTATTACACACAGACAGAGGCGAAGCCGACCAGATCTGACAGGTCGATGTCTGGCGGCAGTGGCTTGGAATAACCCGGAGGAGATGGAGTCGGATCCCGCTGTCGAGTCCAAGCGCGCTTTCTGCGTGGTCCCCAAACACCCTCCAGCCTCTCAGACTCTATCTCTATCTCCCTTGAACTTGAACTCCAACTCTGCAGCAGCGTACTGAACCAAAACTTCCCACACAACCTTATGCCTCCTTACAGAGAAGCTTACGGACCACCGGCGTGAGCGGACGCGGAGCCCGCGTCGGCGGCGTCAAGTCGCTGCGCCTGGCGCCTAATGGAAAGCCCATGCGGTCCAACAACGTGACCCGGGTAGCAACGTAAGCATCTCGTCTATAAACGCGCTCAATCCCAATCCACTGCAACATCTCTGTACTTCTTCGTTAATCGCCCAGGATGCGTGCCGATCTAGTGGCCAGCGGTAATGCGGCCCGCAATCGCCGCAGCGGCAGCAGCACCCGCTTTTCCGTTTCTGGCGGAGGCGGAGGTGGCCTTCGCCAGCGGCTAGGACAACGCCGCCCTTCAGTGGGTGGTGCCGCCGAGCGCATAGAGCGCCGTCAGCGACAGCAGCAGCAGCAGCAAGCTCCCCGTGGACGTTCCCGCTCGCGATCCCGTTCGCGTCCCCCGCAACCACAGCGCGCGGACAGGGGGCGATCCCAGAGCCGTGGACGCAGCGTAGGCCGATCCCAAAGCCGTAATCGCGATCGCTCTGCTCAGGGGCGTATCCCGGTAAAACAGCGCCTTTCGGTCAAGCATCGCCTCGGCGTGCGTCCCGGTCAGGGAAACAATAAGACCAACCAGGTCAAGAACACAAGACAGCGCCGAGCGCCGAGCAAACTTCGAGGCGTGGCCGGTGGACGGGTGGAGAAGCGCCGTAACGCCCAAGCTTCCCAAAAGAAGGGCATTTCCGCATCACTCGCCGGTCGCCAGGGACGCCCACGAGGAAGGTAAGTTGAAAGAACATAGAACATATTCAAGTTGAGAAGTTTCGAATAACAAGAATTTGTCATTATGTGTGTTATTTATATATTTTCTTTTCAATGCACTAGTATATTAAATCAGTGTTATTTCTAATTACAGATCTGCTCTCAGAAACGCTGCTGCTGCTAATAATACCGCTCCGGCTCGTCGCTCACGCTCCCGCAATCGTGTGGCCGCCACCGCTGCTGCCGCTGCCCCCGCTACCGCTAAGGGTCGGGCCAATCCCCGCCAGCGACGTGGACGCAGTGCAGGCGCTGCCAAGGGCAAAAACACTAGCAACACTAACAACAAAAACGGTAAAACCAACAAAAACAGCAAGGCCAGGGCGGCAAACGTTGGCAAACAGGGCCCGCAGCAAGAGGCTCGCCGGGGACGCAGTCGTAGTCGCAAGCCTGCAGGTAAAAGCGTGACAAGTGGCCAGAAGAGCAACCGGACTGGATCTGGGCATCGGCACCTAAATGAAAAAAAATTATAATTTATATATTCCCCATTTCCCTCGAACTCTTGACTATAAAGTTGTGTTTTTTCCTTATTAGGTAAACCACAGCGCGCGGAGGTGAAACGGGAGGATTTGGACATGGAGTTGGATCAGTACATGTCCACCACGAAGTCGGAGATGGACTACTTGCTTAAGTAATCTCGAGTCGATTGGACCAAATCAAAGCCATTAATATAATGGTTGAAGAGAACAGAAGAAAGCTACCACCGGCTATAGAAAGATTACGTTTCTCTTATTGCACTAAGTTACCGCCTAGTAATAATATTCTGTAAGCATTAAAACATAGCATTACAAAAGCGCCTACGTGGCGCACTTAAACATATAGATATTCTCGTGTACATATGGCAAGATCTAAAACTATAAGTAAATTGGCCGAGAAATGTATTGTTTAACCAATGATATTGTTAATCGCATTTTTCGAAATACAAATTTATCATTGCTCAACTAAAATCATTTCGACAAATTGTTTTTCAATGGATATTGAAGGTTAGTTTCTAATGTTCTATTATACCTAAAATTTTAGTTTATGTCTGCTAAAGTCTATTTAAAATGTCGATGCAAAAAACCAATAGTTTTGAGATGTACCTTGACTATTAGTTACCCTTCACTGCGATAAACAATTTCGAGTAATGGGCACCAAAAAATATGCAGCAACGGCGTTTTAAAAAACGAAGGCCTACTATAAAGGCTACAAGCCTTGTGGGACATCCATCTGTTTATCCTCGTGATATTGGAAACGAATATAGGGAATATTAGGATCGAGCGTACATATATTTTGTTTATGAATACGCAGCAAAAAAAGTTTTAACAAAAGAGGCAGTTAGCTTTGGCGATTGATTTAATTTTTCTATTAATTTTCTATATTTTCGACGGTTGTTAATATGATAGTCATCCGGTTTTTATGAATTTTTTTCGAAAAAAATTTTTGATTGAAAACTACACTGTCATAAATTTTATTTTCGTCAATTCTTCATAGATATTTCGGCGTCTACTATGGCAGCTATTTTTTATAGATGTCTGATTTTTTTTCTCATAGTGTTTTTATCTCAATTGTTCCTATTCCGACTTAGGTATAAACTCCGTGCAATAACTACACAACTTCTGTTTAAGTTTAAGCATAGATAGACAGACAGACGGACAGACGGACAGACGGACAGACGTATTTCGGTTCAGGTCGTGATGCTGATCAAGAATATATATATACATATATACTTTGTGGGGTCTGAGGTGTCTCTTGCTGATTTGCAAGCTTCTGATTGAAATTAGAATACCCTCTGGTATAAGGGTATAAAAATGTGTCACGTCCCAAATTGCTCATAAAGGTATATGGGTAACTGAGAGTTGGGCCATTATATTATAGCCTTATCTGTGGCTCCATGTATTGTATTATGTATTCCTTATTCAAATGTTTTAATTTTTTATTAATGTCCAAAACGGAAAACAGATTGCAGAGCAAACGAATTTAGAGCTGTAAAATAAATTTGATGTGGAAACTGAAACTTTGTTTTATTTAAGGTAGTTGGTTCCTTGAGACACTGTCCTAACCTTATATCCTTAAATAAACCCTTCTTAAAATCAATTTTAGCTGAAAATGTATAAAAGGAAATAGTTAATCGTTGGATGTGCTTGACTTCTAACTGCTTCTCCAGACTAACAAAATCCCAATGAGGGCTCCATAAGGTAGCTTAGTATAAGGGGTCATTGCGATTAGTTGTCAGTGCTTATCAACCGCAACAGGGCAAAACAAACCAATCCTCCACACCCGTCACTCATGACCGCCCAAAAACCACCGGTTCCCCCTAAAACGGAAGGCAATCCGCTAATTAACACAAAATGGTCATTTGTTCCGCTTGCTAATTGCCTAAGCTAGTTGGGAGGACAAGTGAGGACGTCCCAAGATTCCTCCTGGGATTCTCGTCATTAACCCCTTGTCGCTTGTCAGCTGTTTGAAAGCATTTAACAATTTATAAGCAATTAGCAAACGTTGCTTTACCCGAATAATTATAGGTGTTGTTCGACTCGAAGTTGAGCTGACTGACATTTAATGATATTATCGTGATGGTGTAACTTATCGTTATAAACTTTAAATTATATATATATCGAAACTTAACTAACTAAATTTTGTTACTAGTTATAAATTTAAAGTACCGTTTTGATTAAATTCACTAACAAAATTAATTTTTAAATTTTAAATCAGTAAAAAGCTTGATGCAACTACGCCGCCTAAATGTACTAAGAGTACTAAGAGCATCTTATATTTTTGCTGTTGACATTAAGTTGCCGTGGGAGATTAATGAATATTTTTGTTTCAGTCAAAACGTGAAATCAACCGAGCGGTTGGCCGCAAAAACCAATTTGACTAATTTACACAGAACGCGAAGGAAAGGTTGAAATATAGAGGGACAGGTGGCCTTAAACTTTATTGAAAAATGGAATTGTAAATTGTAAAGTTTTTATTGATACTACGTTTTTATTGCGTCTGCATTTATGTGGACATATGATAATTAAATATATTTCATATTTTATGGAAAGACAACTCGATTTCAAAGTCATTTTGGTTTTCACATTAATTTCTTATGTCGGGACGGCGCGAACGCCATTCCCGGCTACCAAAAATTGCACGCACGAGTTATTCACATTAGGAATAATCGCAGAGGTCAACTCAGCCGTGGTGCAATGGCCAAGCCTCACTCCGGAGGAACCGCCTTCATGATCACGGTTAACCTCTACGCCAGGTAAGTATGCTTTGCTCGTCTCGGCTGCGGGCTTCTCTATAGCACACGGCCAGAACTAGTTGGGAATTGTAAATAAAACCGTACCTCAGCCAGAAACGGTAGAGATCTGACAGTTTATTCAAACGCACTGTTGATTTGTCTGTTTTAACGATTTAGAAAAAACTAAAATTGAAGAAGCATCCGAACTTTTTCTGGATTGACTGGTTTTTTTTTTGTAAGAAGATTAACAGGATTGCACATAAAAATATTTTCAAAAATTTACAGAATTTTTTGACTATATAACATTGGAATTTTGTTTTTACTGCCATTTTTTTTTTTAAATATGTAATCTTCGCTTTTCAGTACTAAATGAAATAGTCAAATCCCTATTTAGGTTTAAAATATTCATTTCATTGAAGGCGTGCCTCCGTCGATAGAGTTTCAGGCAAGCAGTCTCTGAGTCGTGGGTTAAAATAACGCTATAGCATCGATTATTTTTGTTTACATTTTTTAACATTTAATCAATGCTGTTCAATGCTGTTTTCAAGTTGAACAAAGGTCATTCTTGGGTAGCCTCAAAGTTGGATCGTACGCTTATGTCTAATGCAAACTCGCTTTGATTCCTTCTGCTACGTTACATGCATGAAAGTAAAAAAAATCGTAAAATGTGATAAAAATATAACAAATACCAACGTATAATAATTAAAAACAGATACAAATGTTTTAGCCTGTATAGCATATATATTCTACTGAGAAAAATAATTTTGTTAATTTAAAATAGTAAATTAATAAGTAAACATAAACATAAACATTATTAATTTATGCTTTTATTTCTGCTGTAGGTGCTTAATAAAGTTTGACTATCAGATAGCCACGCAGATTCCATAAATTTCCTAAATGGAGGGAGAGCAGTCCTTCGAGGAGTGTATTGGTTGGTGGCTGAAAGACTCAGCAGCAAACAACAAATAATAAGTGCAAGAACAACAAAAGAACCTACTCAAAATAAACAAGACCAATACACCATATGTCTTTCACACATACGACCGGTGTGCAGATGCTTCTCGTTGCTGCTTGGCTCACGTACGCAAAATATCGAGTGGAACTCATTGACTATTTTTTCTTTTTCGAAATGAAGTTTATTCGGAAAAGGATATAGCGTTGCGCCTGAAACAGATCAATAACCGTAGTGAAGGCTTTGAAAAAAGTTTTTGCAAAGTTGCAATTTTTGTGGCACTGCCATATGGTTTTAATAAAGTTTCAGTATCGGCTGTTGAGGTTTGAAATTATTTATTATTAATACCCACCTTATTGTGTTTTGTGGCTTTACCGGTTACTAAGCAAAGGGTTGTGTAAGGTAAATATTTTAGCCATTATCTGCTACCATTTAAACAGGCTAATAGGCGAATTATTTTGAATTATTTAAGTTAAGTTAAGCTCGTTCACAAATTCGTTGTCTATGCAACTAATTGCATTCGACTGGGTCTCACTCTCTGCCATTTGTTGCACCCGGATTAAGATGTTAATCAACGCACATGGGACTGCAGAACCGAGAAAGTGTAAGAGCAAACAGCGAAATACCAGCGGTGCAATCAATTTCATGGTGAACTAAGACAGCTCTAAGCCATAAACAACAGTCAGTCAGCGGCAACCTAATTGTTGTTCCCAACTTTGTCACCGCCGTTTTGCTTCTCGACTGCATTTCGTGTGGCCTTAGCGGATTCGGCGACATTCAACGCATTGCAAACGTCGTGGAAACTGCAAATTAAAGCAGTCGTCTCCTCTCAGTTTCAGTTACCAGCAATTTCGATTTCCGCATCAGTTCACTTGGCAAAAGCACCAAAAGATTGAGAATGTTGCAGCTGACTTAAAGTTTTTTGCTGCCCTTAATACGAATTTACTTTGTTTGATAACTGCAAATTTACCTCTGGTTTTGTATATTAATATAACCAAGTTAAGGTACCTACACATTCAATTGAACATCCGTCATTAAACCAAACCTTTTTACTGATATTCCTTTTATGTTAAATGAAAAAATATATTTTTTGTTTAGAAAGCAGTTGTAAGTTCCTATTATTACTTTACTTATTGTCAACCAGGGCCGGAGAAACAGTTTTGAGTGGGGTGATGACCTCACAAATTTTCAATATCCCCCCCCTCCCACCCCTTTTGTTTCAAAATCATTCCAAATCATGATGAGGGAAACACTGTTGACATAATATAGGTAAGTATAAATTTTAATAAAACAAGAACACCAATCAATCAAAATGCAACAGGTAAAAAAAACTATTTTAAATGTAAAATGTTAATTAAAATCCATTTAATATTAATGTAATGTTAATTTAATGTTAAAATAATGTTAATTTAATATAATGTAAATGTAATGTTAACTAAATGTTAATTAAATTAATATGGCCACGTCAGCGACAATGATAATTAATTATTTTTTTCGTTTTCTCGCACCTATAATTCCCAAGTGGTTCTGGCTGATTCGTAGTGGGATACCCCTTGATTTTGGCCAATTTCTCAGTTCTCCGGGATGACCGGCAGTTTCTCTAAGAAACTTTTTCCGGTCTCTGGAAGTGTGTGTGTGTGCGTGTGTGTTAGTGACGTGGTTCCAGAGTGGGAGAGAGTATCTGGCCAACTCCTCCTACTGGAGTCCACTCCCGGATGCAGTGCATCATGGGTCGACTCCTCCTACTGGAGTCCACTCCCGGATGCAGTGCACCATGGGTCGACTCCTCCTACTGGAATCCACTCCCGGATGCAGTGCATCTTGGGTCGACTCCACCTACTGGAGTCCACTCCCGGATGCAGTGCACCATGGGTCGACTCCTCCTAGGATGCACTGCATCATGACCTGACTTGGCATGAACTTAAAGGTGCCCGATCCCTTCCTGCATGTAGTGGACTCCAGGATGCAGGGCATCCAAACCTGAAAAGGTGAGTTGCAGTTTTTTTTAATTATGTGATGACGTGGCTTTTGTAAAAAAAATGCAGTTAATTAATTCAATTTTTTTTATATTTTTTTTTCAGGTTTTTGGTTGTGTATTTGGCTGATTGCAGAAAATAATTGGTGACACCATCCAACTTGTAACTTGAAGTTCGACATCAGGATGCACTGCACCAAAGTTATTACGCAGTGAGTACATCCTTTAGACAATAAATAATTAAGTTATATATTTTAAAAAATCATAATATTTTGACAAAGAAACTAAAAGAAACAGATAAAGATCTGAAAGTTTTCAAGAACATGAACGAAATTTGAAAGGTAAATTTTATCAAATATTGAACTTGAAGTACATGAAAATCAAACACAATTAATAATTGTAAACAAGTAGCGACATATAATATAAATATATGTAGTATATATATAGTAATAGTTGTAAGAATGCGGTTACCGGAAATATATAGTATGCTGACACCACATAAATGGACTGGACAACAGGCTGCAGGATCAATTATGAATGGCGTGATCTTCTATTGAACTCCACTCCAGGATGCAGTGCATCACCTCATTGGGGTATGTATTTTTTAAACAACCGATTTGTATAAAATAATTTAACTAATATTTTGGAATGCTTCTTTTCATTACAGGTGATGACTATACCTTTCTACTTGGAGTGTACTTCAAGATGCAGTGAATCAATAACCCAAAGAGGTAAATACCTTTATTACTAGTACCTTTTTTACTAACAAATTTATTCTTACTATTATTATTTGTTACAAATTATTTATTATTATTTTTTTATTCTTATTTAATTTCAGGGTAAAGTGTAAAGTGTACATGTTGCGGATAAAGTGGTTGCAGTGGTTATCTTATTGAACTCCACTCCAGGATGCAGTGCATCACCTCATTGGGGTATGTATTTTTTAAACAACCGATTTGTATAAAATAATTTAACTAATATTTTGGAATGCTTCTTTTCATTACAGTGATGACTATTCCGTTCTGCTTGGAGTGAACTTCAAGATGCAGTTAATAAAAAACCCAAAGAGGTAAATACCTTTTTTACTAACAAAATAATTCTAACTATTATTATTTGTAACAAATTATTTATTATTTATTTTTTTCTTATTTAATTTCAGGGTAAAGTGTTAAGTGTTAATATTGCGAATAAAGTGGTTGCGGTGATTATCTTACTTCAAGAAGACGAAAGATTGCAGTGCAGATCAAGGAGCTAACTGAGTAAGTACCAATCTGAAAAGATTTATTTATGATAATCTCATAATTATTTAAGTAGTTTTTACATTAAGTTGGAAAATGCTTAACTTGGGAAGTATTTGGGAGAGTTACTATCTATCTATTTAAATAGAAACTGATTTAATTGGGCCGTGGTAAAGGCGGGATTTCTCTTCGTTTTTCTTCGATATACTCTATATGCAGGGCCGGAGAAACAGTTTTGAATCATACATTCAACTGATAATAATGGATGTAAATAAATTTTTTTCTACAAGTCAAGCATTTTGGGGTGTTGAATTCCACACCCGCTAAGATTTGGCGTGTGGAGTGCTCAACACCCGGTATACACCTTCCGCCGGCCCTGTTGTCAACCAACCCTGCAGTTCTGGATGTTCACTGTGTAGGAAAGGAAAAGGGATATTCCTAAGATTCCCTCTCTTGCTCACTCTTAGAACACATGTATGCCGAAAACGGCAATGCCATATAAAATGTCTCTATGAAATGGCGTCGTTGCGGCAACGGTTCCTACCCCCGCTGTCGTCGGTGCGGCTTCGCACATTTCATCGACGACAAAGCAGTTTTGGAACTGCAGGGAAGTTACAGACATGAAGGAATTGACAGACCGAAGCAGGAAATGTAGGGGAGCAGTCAGAAGTAGAATTGCATTAAATTTACCACAATAATGCAATTTTCATGGCATTTATGAGCACCCAGCATTCGCACACACAAACGCCCCCGCGATTATTGAAGCCACCGCCAAAGACTAATGCGGTTGTCGAGCATCCTAAGCTGGCAGTAATGGGGACTTTGGGAGGAAGACTGCGGCAAGGATGCGAGTTATGACGTAAAGCACTTAAGTTCGCCAAAACACACATATCTTGATTAGATACGCCTTGGGGCAGAGACTTTGGGGTTGCATTGAGTTTCCGCTTATTGGATTCCAGATCAGTCTCTGTCACTGTGGTTGTACCCTGGCCATCGCTTTATCCTAACTTATAGTATAGCAACTACATTGTTCCACATAGTCATATAAATAAATTTTAAGAGCAGTCCCACTCAATTAATATTTGAGTATGTTCGATAATTCCGCCAAGATAGTTGGTTAGGGACTTAATTTATCTTAAAACTCAAACATGTGATATAAAACACTTGGGGTCCTATAAAGTGTGTACATTTTGGGTCATGATAAAGTTTCATACAAAGCGGAGGAGTAGTATCTATTGTTCCGATATGACTTAATCTTTTCTTGTATCTTCGCCTAACACAAAATTCTTAAGCCTGTGAAAGACAATTGGATTGTCCTTAATCACAATCACAGATTTTATTTCTAGCAAAAAGGTTATGTATATAATTTGAAAGATATACTAAATATATACTAATTCTATACATACTATAAATAATAAGTTGACCTACCTTAAAGTGTATTTTCATTAGGACCATACAAAAAAGAAAAGGCAGTTTATTTTAAGATTACGTTCTGCTTGTTTTATTTGTTTGCCATGTGTGGAAATTAATGTTTTTTGAACGGTTAGCTTATTTACTACGGAAAGACACTTACAGACAGGATTAACTGAAGGGTCGGTTAGAAATTCATTTTGTTCTTATCAAATTAAGTTTGGGGACATATCCTACTAAAGACCACTAAACACAGTTGCTAAAGGTAATTTCATTGTTTTTTTTTTTTTACCATTTTAATCTAATCTAAATGTGGTTTTTGCTTATTTTCAACAAATTATTTGTTTTTGACTTAGAAATAGCGAGACGAGTAAAGCTAGAATGTCGGTGAGGAAATGAAACACAGTCATCGTTGCACTCACTCCTTCCCTCAATCTTCCTTTTTGATTCCCTTTTACGAGTAGAATGATATGTGGATGAGTTGTAATTTTAGTATTTTGCTTTATAGTTTCTACAAAGTCATTATTTGATTGTGATTAGTTTGCGGAAAGGTTTGCATGTATCTCCCTGAATTTAGCGTTTTCCTTTGATTAGTAGCTAGTAAGTACAGTTGACTCCGTTTGGATCTTGCGTTTCGTCCTTATAAATTCGTGTTTTATTAAGCAGACAAGGGCTGGGCTCCTCGTGGCTCAGCACTCGTCGTCGGTGATTGTGTAGCTGCCCCGGAACTCGCTCAATGGCGTCGCGTTCGCCGTGGATGGCGTCATGAGTGGCGCCCCCTGGAAGGATATGGCCAGCGGGAGGGCCGAGGGGGCGCACAGGCTCAGGGCGCCGCGTCCTTCCGTCACGGAGCGGTAGCGCAGCGGGCGGCCGGATCTGCAATTGGATGGCAATAACTAGGTTATCGACTTCGCCGTCAAACGGTGTTTCAAGTCAAAGGATTTTGCACTCAAAAAAATTATAGAGTGAAAATACCCCAACAAATTAACCAAATGCCAAATAAAATGTATACTACATTTATAATTATTATATTATAACTATAACCCACGGTAAACTTTATAACAATTTTTAAATTCTTAAATCCCAAGGCTTAGTAAAACCTTTTTTTAAACTCAAAAGCATTGAAGAAAGCAAAAAAATTGAACGAAATGAGTGTATATTATATTGAAACTAATTGGGAAGAACGATGCTTTAAAAAACTTTAGGAGTGATAGTTCGCAGATGAATGGAAATGGTTTAATTTCAATTATAATTGTTTAAGTATATTTTATGTTTAATCTTTAACAGCTTTTTAATATGCGTTTGAAACCAATATATATAAAACTTATTTTTAACTATAAGTAAAAAAACAAATGTTATTTCAGAAAGATTTTGTAGAAATCACGATGGTGGGTTTTTAATCACTGGCCAAAACCCAATTTTCAGCATCCAACATTTCCTTTTTCCCATTTATTTTGGCAGAGTGGGATTTCTAATCGATACCCATTTATTGGTGTCCACACACACGCCCACTCCAACTGCCACTTGTCTTGACTCGTTTGCCCAAAAATAAATACCCCCAAAATCAATCATACGTCACGATGCACATTTATTCCCAGCACAGTGCAGTTTTGGGGGAAATAAATTGTGTCCGATTCCCTTGGTCCTTGCCTTGGCTGTATATTCCCTTCAGATTCGCCCAGATTTATGTGGCACACTCACCGTTCGCAGTTGCACTTCAGCAGGCGGATGAAGGCCGCGCGGAACGTGCGGTTGAATATCGTGTAGATGATGGGATTGATCGTCGAGGAGACGTAGCCCAGCCAGAGACAGGTGTTCACCACGTGCTCGGGCACCTGGCACTCGGGACAGGCGGCGAACAGGATGTTCAGGATGAAGAAGGGCGACCAGCACAGCACAAAGGTGAAGAACACCAGTCCGAGCACCTTGGTGGCCTTCTGTTCCGTGGCCACCGCGTTCGCCGATAAGCTGTTCCGCTTGCTGCGGTTGTTTAGGAAGCTAAAAGGAAACAGCAGGAATTTATATCTCTTTTAGACGTTACATTTTATAGGCAATGACTTATACATGTTTTTTGGTATATAGAAAAAACTGCAGAAATCCAATTTAGAAGATGGAATTTAAGAGGATTAAAATTGTTGTTTAAAATTTAACATTGTCATATAACTACTTCATATGGCTACCAAAAAAAAATGTCATAAGCCCGCTGGTTTTAGACATGTTCGTGACAGTGATGCCAATTTGTCCTTTTTCCGGACAGATCTGTTCTGTTTTTAACGCTTCATCCGGAAAAAATTGAAAATCATCCGCATACCTGATATCTGTCCTTTTTTTTAGATTTTTCATCCGGAAATCTGTCCTTTTTTTAAAATCTAATATTAATTATTTTTTTTTTTTTCTAAAATAGTTGCTTTCGCGCTCCAATTTAAATTTATTATCGGCTGTAAAATATGAAACAGGTGGCAACTTTTCGTCTGCCATGCTTATATCGACAGTTCGGTAAAAAATGCATCGAAAAACAAATCTTTTACGATTTACTTGCACTCTCTCTTTCGGCACACGAAATTTAAAAATTTGTTTTTTTATATTAAAAATGCCAAAAGAAATGTATAAGCAAAAGTTTCGGGATGACTGGCTACTGCAGCCCGATTTTAAAAATTGGATTAGCCGATATAATTCAGACATTAACAAGGCTTATTGCAAATACTGCAAATGCAGTAATGACGAAGGAAAAATAATCGAAGATGCCTTAAAACTATTATCTTAATAAATAAAAATAAATATAAAAATAAAATAACTGTAATCTAACTTTTTGTCCTTTTTTCTATCCTTTTTATAATATTTTCATCCTTTTTCCCCTGTTTTTTTCTCAATCTGTCCTTTTTTTCGAAAAAATTTTGGCATCACTGGTTCGTGTGGTTGAATTCATTTTTCATGATTTTTTTATTTGTACATACATATACGAGTTTGTAGCATTATTTTTTTTTATTTTACTAATTTCAAATTAACGAGCAGCAATAAATTCAACAAAAATAAAGTTCCTATACCCAAAAAGAAGCGACTTAAACTGAAACTTAAAGCGTTTGAATTTGAGAATCTCGTATATTCTGGTACTTTCTTTTTCTGGAACTTCAAAATTGTCCTCTCTGAAGTTGTTCTATTTTTTTTTTATTGTTAATTTAATTATTGTTCTTAGTGTACATTCAAAAAAGAGAACTGATTTTAGCTTTCAATAAAAAACTATCCCTGAAATACATACATATGTTACATCTGAGCAACTCAGACGTGCATTACCTACAGTTTATTGGTTAATGTAGTTTGTTTTTAATGTTTTTTAGCATTACTAACCGTAGGTTGAGAGTGGGCGTGGCAACGCGGTTTAAAGCAAACTTAAAGGGCCGCGTTTTGTGGCGCTGTTGCTCGTCGGGCTTCGAAGCTGAAGGCCTCACCTGCTTGAGCAGGTGATTGCCTTTGCCCCCAGCTCCTTGACTCTGGCTCAGAGTCCCTGGTCCCTGGATGGTGGCGATTTTCATCATGCTGGTGCCCCCAGGAGTTGAGCAGCTCGTTGTCGCAGCTGATGAGCCATTGCCACCGCCACCGCCGCCACCGCCTCCCCCTTCTGCTGCTCCTCCGGCTGCTGCCCCTCCTCCGTTGCCACTGCCACTTCCATTTGTCGGATAACCCAATTGCGGCTGAGAGATGCTGACACGAACAGAGGCCCGACGATTCGGGTGGCTGCAGGATGATAAAGAACAAAAGTTTCTAATTTAAAAAGGCAGAAGAAATAAGACCACTGAGGAAAACCCCTTTTTATGTGTTTGCATTATTTTCACCAGTTAAGTCATTATCATGGCAAAAGAACTCGCAACAAAACTATTTAAGGATTCAACTTTCTTAGATAAAAAGAGATTCATTCCCCCTAAAAGACGGGGAAACTGATATACATTACCAAAAGATTCTACAAATTTAAGATGATTTTTATCTCCAACAATTAGTTGATAGTGCTTTTTTGGTTTGGCAAGGATACAAAAACTTCACGAGAAGTATCTCAATAACTATGTAGGAAAAAGAAAAAAATTTAAAAAAAAAAAATCATACGTTTTTTCCCTCAGTAGAGTCATTGCATATTTAGATTGTTTTCTTATATCTCTGAGCAAGTTTTTGATATTAGATTTGAGTCTTTTGATTGCAGGGGCCCTGCCGAAACCAACACCCAGCTCAACAGTTGATAAAATTGCCTTTTAATGTAATGATGATGGTGACTGGGGGAAGCGGAAGGGAAGGGAAGAAAGGGGAGCATACCGGGAGCTAAATGTAATGAATTTCAGTTGCTTGGGGTATGCGACCTCTGAACCTCTGAGCCGCCCCCTCCACTTTCTGTTTGCATGTGTATTTTCGCAGAGCCCCGAATCTGGCAATTTAGCTAAATGCTTTGTTTGCCGGATGGGAATGGAGGGAATCTGCCGGCAGAGGCACCTATTATATAAGAGTTATGTTATGGCCATACTGTGCGCCCTGATAATGGGGGGAAAATTCGTTTATCCTTAAGGAAGATATCACTAAGTGCCAAATCTTAGCCATCACAATGTCGCATTAAAGTTTTTCTGGAAGTGATCGAATGAAGAAAGTTACTTTAAATAGTTTACTTTGTAAGTTCACTTAACTTTTTCAAAGAAATTTTTAAATCTTAGGCTTTTTTTTTTAGATAAATTGTCTTAAAAGTTGTGATTGGTGAAAAGAATTTGAATGTAACAATTTCATTATATTGTAACAAAAGTTGGTTTCAAATGACTTGACCAGGTGACCAGTACCAAAGCTGACGTCTGGCAACCCTAGGACAGGCCAACGATCGGTCACTCTAGGACCTGTAAAAAGCCTGTCAAAAAGTTTAGAAAAGTTGCGATCACACTGATCGATGTTCTCTCCCTCTCTTCTTCCGGTTGTCTGCCAGGCCGCATGCTTGTGTAATTAAGCGGGTAATAAAAACCTAATATAAATCTTAAGAACTCTTGCTTGGTTGTTTGAATGGCGTTGGCATAACGTGGGCTGTCCCCCACCTATTAAACAGTATCCGCTCGGCTGACCGTGGCGAATTTGGAAACCTCGACAGGGCAACTAAGTTTCGTTACAATATATAGAATGGCCTTCATGAATGTAAGTTATACATATATTCTGAAGGTATTTTTGAGTTCTTTTTGTTTAATATCACCACCAGCAAAAGCATTTTTATCCAATAAAATTTTCATTTAGTAATAAAGAGAATCATTTAAATGAATTATGCCAAACTGCTGGAATAACTTTCTTAGAGGTAAGAGCAGAATGTTTTACTTTTCTTCTCCGACTTGTTAGCAGTTGGAAGGAGGTGCTCGGACCTTGCAACTGTTGCTGTCTCAGCGAATAAAACGTAAAGTTTTTCAATTTTAGACTGGCGCCGAGAGAAAGGCAAAAAATAAATAAGTAGCGCCAAAGCGGCGTCAAATGTCCAACTTATAATTTGTAATGTAACAACTTTTACGCAATGCAATCCTTCGTTTTTTGGATGGAGGCAAAAGTTGTCGTATTTCCCAAGGGGGCAGCCAGGTAGATCCTGGGGCTCTTGGCTTATTAGGAATTCATATATTTGTTTGGCAACTTCGGTCGCCCGCCAAAAGGGCGGAGCGCATAATCGCGACGTTCATTAGCTTTTTCCGCTCAAGGTGATGACTTATTCGCTCTCCATTTCAGCTATGCTAAATTGCTGCTGACCGCCAGCTGAGCAAGCCATCCGAAAATTTCTGTGGCCCATTTGGCTGCACTTTGCTTTTATTTCCAGTACTTTTGGGGGTCCTTTTTTGGGCCTCCCCAGTATTTTTCGACTGCTGGCAACAATGTCGGATGCGACATTTGCTCCTTTCTTGCGGCTGCCCTTTCTGCATTTTACGCTGTATTTATTGTCCCAACAACAACAATGTGGCTGCAGCTAAAATGGGGCGACAAGCGGGTTTGTGTTTGTGCTCTTTTTTTTTTTGTTTCGCTGCACCACATGACGTATGAGTGATTTATGTCCGAGCTGCCATGCCACCAGATTAAGCATACGACATGTTGTGCGAGTGCTGTAAATGTGTATTTAATAGCTTGAATATTTATAATTAATTTCCCTCGGCACTGGTAGGGGTATTGATAAACTCGTACACGCATATGTATCTCTGGCAGTGTGAAACATTGTTCTTTTACAACATGCCATATGGCTTTGCAGCTTTTGTATTGTAGCACGATTAATTATTTAGGCTCGGCAAAATGGTCACACAAACTTTAGGCCAACTTAAAACAACAATCCAAAATATTTGTAGTCATTTTTTTAGCATCCGTTTCAGGTATATATATTTTAATGAAAAAATTTAAGCTGGGATATGGGAATTAATTGTAAATTGATATTAAAGAAATTCTGCTTAATAGTATATGATAAATATAGGGTATAGTTGAATTGGACCAACCAACCTTGATGAAAAAAGTAGACTAGTAAAATCCAAATATATCATCCAAATTATTGTAACAAAAAAACAACAAGTATCTCCATTTGTTAACCCCAATATTCTAGCTGCTATAGTTCCGAGATCTCGAAGATCATACGGATGGACAGACAGATATACAGACTTTTCGAAAAATGTAAACAAATATTGACTAAATCGGAATTCATATTTAATTTTTCTCAATTTTAGTGTTTTTATTCTACCAAATAAAAAAAAAATTGTTTTATACACTCAAAAAACAGATTTAATTCTTAGGTTAAACACTTTGATAATCATTGTTTTCACTGCAAGGTATGAACCTTCAACTGCTCTTTGTTGTCTAAGGGAATTTCATTCCCGTGCAGTCGTGAAATTGTGCAGAGAATATTCCGATCACAATTAGCAATGCGTCGCCACCCGGCAGGCCGCAATTAATTCTCAAGAGCCATCCACTCACCTGTCCATTAGGTTGGGATTGCCGCCGTGCTTGCGCCAGAAGCTGCTCGAGTGCGACTTGCCGGCGGAGTGGCAGCTGGAGGCGGGCGACGACGACTGCCGCAGGATGCCTCCGCCGGAGAACCGGAAGCTGCTGCGGGCGGCTGCTGCGCTCCGGGAGCCACTTCCACTGCCATTGGCCACGTTGCGGAAGCTCACCGTTCCGATGCTCCGGCTGCTCGGCGTTCGCTGCTGCATCAGCGGCCGTTCGGCGGGCTCCACGCTGTTCCCCCTCGCGGAGCCCCTGCCCGGGCATCGCTCCTCCCCCCTCCCCCCGCGCTGTTGAAGTTGCGGTTGCTGTCGCCCATCGAGAGGAACTTGTTGTTGCCGCTGGAGAAGCTGCTGTGCATCTGCAACTGCTGCTGGCTGTGCTGTGGCCTGATGGTGAAGCGGCCACCCAGTCTGCAAAGGATACGATGAAAGTAGAATAAGCCAAATTTCACTTTTTATTAGGTGTTGATGAAATCAATTAAAATATGTAGCAAGCAGCCCTATGTACATATACCTATTATTAAGCACTGCTTGATAAGCAGTTAACGTATGTACGTCTCTCTCTTGCACATACGAGATTGTGAAATAGGCTAAGCATTAACAGAGATGATGAAATAAATATCACTTTTGCTGCGACCACTGAAGTGAATAGACCCTGATTGTATCACTACAAATATATATAAATATATATATGTATATTTGTAGGAAACAATGATATTGGGTTATCCAAGTGCAGATTGAACAAATAATTAGACTGCACTTTATGAAAGAAATTGGTTTTGTAGATGCATCTCATTTGGGTATCAAGCTTCATTTGGAAGAGGTATCTGGGCTTCTTCAATTGCGGCTGATTTTTCTGAGTGCAGAGAGGTGTTGAAGCAAGAGGACAGACTGGGTGAACTGCTGGTTGATTGAGTTAACGCTAATTTGCCGCGCTTGGCCGAGTTTCCATTGACCTCTGAAAGCCAATCAGTGGCACAATTGCAGTGTTTGAAGAAGGCTGCGAAAATGAATCGACCTCTAAAATCGGAAACTGGTCTTAAGCCGGGAAAAGGAAAATCTGCATAAAAATGCCATATTGGATTCCAATTCAATGTTAAATTTTGTTCCCAAGTTAAAGTTTATGTCTAGTCCAAACTGACATTCTTATAATGTTATTTATATGCACCTGCGGAACAGTTCACTCTCCGGATGCTCGGCAGCAAAACGCGCCTTCTTTCTGAGGAGCGGAATGGTCAGGGCGTAGGTGGTGACCATCATGAGCATGGGGATGTAGAAAGCCACCAGGGATCCGAACACGAAGAATGCGCGGTTGTTGATCACACAGACGTTGGGCTCGGGCATAATGTTCTTCTCGTTGACCAGACCTGAGAACACAAAAAACGAAAGCGTAAAGAAGATAAAGAATACCAAACTTTTCCACCCTTCCATTTACCCAGCACTGTTATCGAGCTGGAGACCATCATGGCCATCAGCCAGACAATCGCAATCTTGATGCCAGCCAAACGCTTCGTGGACCGGTGCCTCGACCCCAATGGATTCCGGATGCCCAGGTAGCGACCCAAACTTATGAAGCACATGTGCAGGATGCTCGACGAGCATGCCAGCACGTCACAGGTCACGTATATGTTGCACCAGGTGAATCCGAGTGGCCAGTAACCTGAACAAGAAAACATAAAAGTTTCGAAAGGGTTTAATTAAAAAGAATTGAGTTTTCCTTTGCTTATGCTATGAATTGAATGAATTCTCAATCACGAGAATCCGAAATATCCCCCATTTTATGCGGTGCCGAAGAATTAATGAAGTGATAGAGTGAGTTCCCAAAAGTCTAAATTGTAACAGGCTGGGTATTAATTATGTACATATACTAACTTATACTATTATTATATTACTTTGTAAACGCTGGTCACACTTCTGATCTCTCGAGAGAGGAGGTGCTCTCTCGAGAGAGTAAGAAGCTGAACATAAACGGGGGTTTAAAGTTAGCTGCCTGCGAGCAGCAAGTCAGTTCGTATTGAAAGTTAAAAGAGATCACAATAAAGAAGATCCTGATACAAAATGTAGATGGAAGTAAAAGTAAACAAACAATTTGGTTGCGCCTCACCATTTCATTCATAAAAGGCTATATTTCTAGTCAACTTCATTGTGCAAGCAAAAACGTAAATAGAGTATATTGCTTACTTAAATTGCTTTTATTACTTATTTAACGTAATATTTTAAGATTTTGATCACTGCGGAGGGCGTTCCACGTAAAATTAAAGGACTTTTTTTTGTGAAAGTCTACTAAACATAGATCGTACACGCTTTTCATTTCGATTTATTTCGGTTTTTGCGTTAGCTGCTTAACACTCGAGTGACTCATTTAACTTGACATCAATGGGCGGCCGGCATTTCATCGAGGCCGAGCTCTCGAAGGCAAAACCTCTACAAAAACTCAATTGCTGGCCTGCCGGGAGTCGAACTCGGTATTAATTAGTACAAATTGCGTCCAAATGCGTTGGGTGTTCTGTGCTCGATAGTCGGGTGATGGGTGAAGGGTGAAGGGTGCGACGGGCTTTTACACGCTACTTTGCTAGAGACAGACACACAAGGGTCCTTTCCGCCAAACAAAGTCAGACAATCAGAATTTGGGCCACTGGTGTTGGGGATGAATATCATGTCGTATTTAGTTTTATATGCTTGTCACTGACACACTCAGTTCCAGAAGTGTGAGGCGGCCGTCAATGTATTTATTACGCATACGCCATGTGGAACTCGAAGAGTTCGGGGTGAAGTCAAGAGGCAGACGCTGAAACAACGCAGCTGTGGTCGTACTCGAAGCTGTCGCAAGTTTTCCTATGTACACCCTTCTCAATCCTTAATTTCATTTTCTAAAAAAACATTTGTGGTATTGTGGTTTATGATATTTATCCAAAAGCTAGGAGCCGTTTTAATTTACCCAATTTGAATCTAGGACAATTAGTCGTTCCTTTTCCTATTTGAGTATCCAGAAGTAAGCTACATTAATGTTGTTTAAAACGTTAAAGACTTAAGGGGAGGGTAAGGTCAAATCGTGCAAAAAAAAGCCATGTTTTTGTGATTTTTTTCCTGACGACACAGTTAAAATTTATTTTTTCAACCAACGGTATATTAAAGTATGACATTAGAAGAATGTTTTATCAAATTTTTACAAAAAAAATATTAAAAAATATGGCAATGGTAGCAATTGTCCGGACGTGTCGCCAAAAAAAGTTGAATTGCGGTGCCCCTCATAACTCGGTGCTGGATCATCTCAAATTAAAAAATGAAACTTCATTCGTTAGATAATAGTTCGCCCCAGGTAACGCTGTAAAACTTTTTTGAAAATTGCAATTTTTTAATTTTTTGGAAGACTTTGAAGTGAAAAACACAATTTTTTGGGAAAAAATCGGTTAATTTGTCATTGCAAAATCAAAATTATGAACAAAAAAAAAAAAAACTCGACAGCGTTACCTCGTAAAATATGTACAGAAATAGTGTTTAAAATTTCAAAAGGATCGGTGCAGTAGTTTTGAAGTTATGAGGGGCACCGACTTTGAAAATAGCGTGTGTGGCAAAATCGATTCAAAGTATTTTTATACGTGAAAATACGCCCAAATACGGTTGTTTAAAACGCTGTAACTCCGTTAGTTTGACTTTAATTGACTCAAAATTTTTACACAATGTTCTCGACATATTAATCATTCAGAAAAAATAAAAAAAAAAAAATATAAAAAAAAATTTTTAAAACCTTACCCTCCCCTTAAAACATAATGAAAAATAATGGAGGTCAATGCCGTTTTTATGCGTAAGCCTTATAATTTGTGATTGTAAAGAGACCCTTTAGAGAGAGAGAGTCCTTTTCACAATGTTTATTTTATTTTTTTTATTGTTTAATGTTTATACAATTTATAATTTGGTTTCTATTAATTTAATAAATATTTTTCGACTTGCTTCTAACGCTTCCCGCGTTCTATGGTGAAAAATCTTTACGGCTTGAGTGCGGGAACAAGCCCGACTGAGCAATATCCGATGTTTATGTAAACTAAAGAAAAAACTCCTACAACTGGCCCATTTTCGGATTAATTGCTAGCAAAAGCTCGGGTCGTTGTTTATGTTATTGTTGCCGCTGCAGCTAAAAACACACTTAAGGCTTTTAGTTACATTTAGTTTACAGTTTTCGCCGACTTTTCAACGCAGCACTCACACAGAAAAACACAAAAGTGAAATAACAGACCTTGTCCTCGGTCTCGGCATTTAAGGAGTGGGTTTTAAATGGCCCAAAAAAGTAAATGGAAAAGGACAAAAAAAGTCGTTTTAGTTGAGTGCCTCTGCCCGGGAGTATGTAGAAATTTAGAAGATTTTACTGTGCACAGATGCTTTCTATCTAATAATAATTGCAAATAGTAAAGAGTTTTATGTTTGTGAAGTGGTTTAGTACAGGACGTAACGGGCCGGATGAAAAGTCCCCGGTTTACCATAGTAAAAAATTTTTTTTTTGCAAAATTCAATTTTATTATTCAACATAGTTGCCTTCGAGGGCGATACAGCGATTATAGCGATTTTCCAACTTTTCGATGCCACTTTTGTAGTACTCTTTCGGTTTATCCTCAAAATAGGCCTCAGTTTCAGCTATCACTTCATCATCGGTCTTAAATTTCTTGCCAGCGAGCATTCTTTTAAGGTCCGCAAACAGGAAATAGTCGCTGGGGGCCAGATCTGGAGAATACGGTGGATGAGGAAGCAATTCGTAGCCCAATTCATAAATTTTAGCCATCGTTTTTCCAGACTTGTGACATGGTGCATTGTCTTGGTGGAACAGCACTTTTTTCCTCTTCAAATGCGGCCGTTTCTTTGCGATTTCGGCTTTCAACCGCTCCAATAAAGCAATGTAATAGTCGCTGTTGATTGTCTGTCCCTTCTGGAGATAGTCGATGAATATTATTCCATGCGCATCCCAAAAAACAGACGCCATAACCTTTCCAGCCGACTGTTGCGTTTTTCCACGCTTTGGATTGGGTTCGTCGCTTGCTGTCCATTCAGATGATTGACGATTGGACTCTGGAGTGTAGTGATGGAGCCATGTTTCATCCATTGTCACATATCGACGGAAAAATTCGGCTTTATTGCGCTTAAACATCTCCAAACACTGCTCCGAATCATCAACTCGTTGTTGTTTTTGATCGATTGTGAGCTCGCGCGGCACCCACTTTGCACAGAGCTTTCGCATGCCCAAATATTCGCGAATGATATGATGTACACGTTCCTTTGATATCTTTACAATGTCTGCTATCTCGCTCAACTTCATTTTACGGTCATTCAAAATCATTCTATGGATTTTTTTGATGTTTTCGTCGGTAACAGCCTCTTTTGGGCGTCCACTGCGTTCACCGTCTTCAGTGCTCATTTCACCACGTTTAAACTTAGCATACCAATCAATGATGGTTGATTTTCCTGGTGCAGACCCCGGAAACTCTTTATCAAGCCACACTTTGGCTTCAACTGTATTTTTTCCTTTCAAAAAGCAATACTTTATTAACACACGAAATTCTTTTTTTTCCATCTTTTCAACAATAACAAAAGTAGCTTCACTCAAATCGATATAACTCCCGAACTAATTGTCCGATTGCTGTCAAATTTTGACACGTATCGTTTGAAGGTTGGTACTGAATGAAAATCATATGGAAAAAAATCTAGTAAAATCTAGTATGGGTCAGACCGGGGACTTTTCATCCGGCCTGTTATATATGTTGTATTTTTAATTTAATGTGATTTTATCTAAAGGGAAAGTTTACCCCCATTCCCAAAAGATGCAAATGTTTAATTTAATTTTCAAAAATAGTACCCAAAATCGATTCGGTAAAGCTTACTGATTTGTCTTGAAGCAAAATGAATTTCCCACTGATGTTATTAATGTATTTGGGACCAGTACTCAATCCATTTTTGTGCGATGGGTATGGGATCCGGGTAGGGATTTGTTTCTCGGTTCATGTATGGCGATGACTGCGCGCTTAATTTATGCAAACGTTTGATCTGTTTTCGCTACGCTGAATTCACTTCTGGCCAGGCTGGAAATGTTGGAAATGTTGGGGGCTTGCCAGACTTTATTTTGGGGTTTTACCAGTGTCATATGCAAATAAGTCGAGTTACCTCAGGCTTAGTATATTTTGAGAGTAATGAGGCGGGAACTCATTACGCCCTTGTAGAGGGTATCAAATAATTGTAATAGAAGAAATGAGAACCTTAAGAATGTTTTGCTAGTTAAACATGGATCACTAGGCGTAAGCAGATCGATTTAAACAATCCCGGTGATCATTCATTAATAAGCTTAAGCCACAATAATTATGATTACGTTTCCGTGGATATGCAACTCTCTGCAATAGCCACATGACTTTCTTTAATAGTTTCGGAATGTTTGCTAAGACTTCTGTACGAAATTACCTACTGCAAGGGTAAAATAGTTAAAATAGAATCAGAAATAAAAATTATGAAAGACATAATCAAGAATTTAATCACTGCTCTTAAAACTGTCTTTAAATTGTTCCGACTTAAAAGGCTTATACTTTTAAAACGGAACTTAACGTGGGGATAAAATTGACCAAATATACAGATGAAAAGGTAAAAGGGGCATTGCCTTACAGAACGGCTTTTATATATAAGTAAAAAAAATATGTACATACATATTTATGTTGCTGGAGACGTCAGCTGAAGATTAGTACCCACCATTTTCATAAAAATAACAGCCCAAACAGTAAGAAAATGGGCAAACAAAAGTTTGCTAAAAAAGTGTGTTTGTTCCAAACCAGGAAACGAGACAATTTTACCTACAAATTAAAAAATTTTATGCATATGGAATTTGTCGTTTTAACCACATTACATGAGAGTTAAATATGGGTCCAAAATCTCGCATTGCATTATGATACTACATGACACCGAGTGTGCCATTTCTAATCTACAAGTGGGGAGTATAAAAACGAGTCTAAGGAAAGCTAAAATCCTATTCAAACATCAACAAGCAGAGTCACGCGTTTGTCATTCTAGTTTGTTGCTGCTGGCACTTTAACTTTCGCTACACTGAGACAAAAACTGACAAAGCACGGCCAAAATAGTCCAACTTGACAACTGGCTCCTAAGCCCACTCTTCCATAGGTCGGTTTTAGAACACACCACCTTCAAGTTGTAGTGATACAATTAGGGTCTTGTTTCTTCAGTGGTCGCAGCAAAAGTGATCTTTATTTCATCATCCCTGTTAATGCTTAGCCTATTTCCCAATCTCGTATGTGCAAGAGAGAGACGTACATACTTAGAGATGGGATTACATGGTGTTTCTTAAAGGAGTAAGGGGGACATAAAGGATGACTTAACTTAAGGGATACACAATAACGTTAACTGCTTACAAGCAGTGCTTAATAATAGGTATATGTACATAGGGCTGCTTGCTACAAAGTTAAGCGCTGTTCGGCTTCATTTTCCCAGTGCAGCACTGCTGCACTTTGCTGCGAGTGTAATTGAGCCAGAGCGGAAGCAGCCAACGAGGCTAACAACTCATGACAATGGGTGGTGGGTGGTGGTATGGAATGGGATTGGATGGGGCTGTGGTGGCAGAGCGATGGGGTGGAGACGCGCCGAGGGTGCAGGAAATGGCGTCGAAATAATTCATGTGCAAATGCATTAGTCGCTGACTTGCACTGCCACTTGATTGCTGGAGTGCGCTCGTAGAAGCCGAGTGAAAGATAAAAGTTTGCTTAAAGGAAGTCAGAATAACAGCCATTTAATGGTTTCCAAAGCCTTCTCAAAGGGACAGCCCTCCCCTCCATACATTTTTGTGCAAATGGAGTTCCTACTTAAACGGCAAGTGGGTATTTTTTTTAAAGGACCTCTTACTCACCCAGGAAGGCGGGAATGGCACCCATGGGCATCACAAACAGACTGACCAGCAGATCGGCTATCGCCAGGGAGAACAGGAAGTAGTTGGTGACGTTCTGCAGCTTTCGGTCCAGTGCCACGGCCAAGCAGACCAGGATGTTGCCCAGGCCGCCCGCGAAGATGAAGAAGACCACGAACAGGAAGAGCCAGTCGTACCCGTGGGGACTGTAGTCCAGGAAGCTCCGCGTGACAGCGGCATCGGTCGATGGGGCTGCGGTGGAGGCGGCGACTGTCGATGTGGTCAGTGCCGTGTAGTTGGCCAGAATCATGTCCAGGCTGGAGCTGGTGGCGTTCGGGATGCCAAAGGTGTCGTTGCCGGGTAGCTCGAGTAGCTCGCTCAGGTTGAGAAACGTCCAGAGGCTGTCCTGCTCGTTCCCCAGCTCGATTTGAAACGCCTCCAGGAGGCTGTCGTTCGAGGGGCCCTCAGACCCCAGACTCTCCGGCACCCCAATTGGCTCCCTCCGATGCTGCTGCAGGTGGCAGAGGAACAGCTCGTGCGGCTGCCCCAGCTCGCAGTGGAACACATCCTCCCCGTTCCCGTCCCCATTGCCGCAGCTCGAACTATCGCTAAGTGTATCACCCGTATTATCACTGAGGGCCTCGTTGATTGCCAGCCGAAATCGCTCATACGCCTCGTTCGCCACTTGCAGCAGCCGCGCCTTCAGCCTGAACGTGCAGCCATTTGGGTCCGACAATGGGCTCTCCACATCGCATCTGTAGAGTGCCGCCTGCCCCCCCGTCGCCCCATCGAACGGCTGCCGGGCGCACTGGAATGTGCTGTTGTCGCCGCTGGCGAGGATGTTGCTGGTGGGCAGGATGTGGAGGCTGTTGTTGCCGCTTTCGCAGTCAATGAGCGGCTGTCCCACCTCGGGCCAATCCGCCTCTTCCAGTCGACAGCTAAAGTGTCGCTCTGTGAATCTCGCTGTTGCTGGTGTTGCTGTTGCTGGTGTTGCTGCTTCTGATGTTGCTGGTGTTGTTGTTGCTGGTGCTTCTGTCGTTGGTCCAGGACCAGAGTAGCTTTGCATCTCCATTTCATTCTAAAGCTGTGCGGCTTCCCCAGCGAAACACCAACTCGGATGCAAAATAATTGCCTGCAAATAATAAATGGGATTGTTTATTTACAACTTGTTTAATTTATGTTTTTAGGTAAAAGTGTTTGCTCTATAAGATGAGCTAGCGCGAATGCAGCCTCAGCTTTTTCACTGAATCACTCAACATTTTTTCGATAAAATAAAACCAACCTATAAAACTGATTTTCTATTCCACATTTGCTAACTCTTTATATCAATTTTAATACCGACGATTCTGAGTCAATTTTGTCTAGTACTTCTTTAATAATTTCATAATAACTTGTTATCAAGTTGAAAAGCAAGCAAGGAAACTAGCAATCTAATCGAAAACCTATTTAACTCTTTTAACAAAGATTTATCTGGTTATTTCGATACTTGCAATGTCAGCTTTATGAAAACCTTCATACCATTTAAGAATTAGGGCGATTTTCTAAAAATTGTTTTAACGCAAAAACAAGAGTTGATTGACTAAAAGAAGTATTAGTATTTTAAAAGATTACGCCTACTAAAAATTTTCTGTTGGAATGTGCTCTTCAACTGTGCTCTTTAACTGGACTTTATTTATTTAACAAGACTTTATTTTTGTTTTTTATAGCTTCAACACTTTTTCTAATATAAATAATAAGGAAGTAAAAACATTTATTTTGATTGAGTTTTAAACAAAACCTTTTTAAAAGGTTAATATTAAGAATCAAAGTTAAGCATCGCAGATTTGAAATTTTGTGTCGAAATATCGATGGGCATCAATCAATAATAAATTGTTTATCATTTAATTGGCTCGCTTATTTACACAATAAATTGATATGTAAATAAATGTTAATTAAGTGTATATTTCCCATTAGCCTATTGGTTATCAGTAATCGGGCAAATGGCATCATCGGTATGAAAAGAATTTTTAATCCGTTTTTCCGCATAACGAAATGACTGTTAGGCCAATTACTAGAACTTTCTACGCCGCCATTTGACAGGAAAGCCGCATTAGAGGCAAAATCGACAAAATGAAGAATATAGCCGCCATATTTCCAATATGCGTTTGTGTGCTCCTGTCAATAGATGACAGCTGAAGAGTTGAGCTCGATGGGATGCACCAGATGATGATGATGTTGCCGTGACGATGGCAGTGTCAACAAGGGCTGGCGACTCGATTTGAATTCGCCTTAAATGGCGCGGCAACAAAGGGCCTCACGCTCATGGGTCCCTCTTTGACCTTCTGCCAAACATCCGCCCACAACCCCACCAACACCCCCACCCCTACTCCCACATCCCATCCCACTTTGGCCTTGAATGCGGCTTTTGTGCTTGTGTCAGAGCCAAATTCAGCCGTCAACTGCGTGTTTCTAAAATGCGGTTCCCATTTTCCTTTTTCGGTTGCGTTTTTTTTTTTGCTTTCATTGGCGGCTTGCACAAATTGGTTGTCGCCACTGATAATGAGACTCGTTCGCGCATACATGCACATGGCCGAAAATTAATTAAAATCGCTGCAGATACAAAAATTAGGCAGGCTCTGCGGTCCTGCACTAGAACACCGTTCACATGAAATTATGGCTTTGAAAATTGCATGCTAATTTTGTGGTGAGGAAAGGTTATTTCTGCGAAGGCAAGGACTTGTGTGTAGCAAGCAGCCCTATGTACATATACCTATTATTAAGCACTGCTTGATAAGCAGTTAACGTTATTGTATATTCCTTAAGTTAAGTTATCCTTTAGGTCCCTCTTACTCCTTTAAGAAGCACCATGTAAACCCATCTCTAAGTATGTACGTCTCTCTCTTGCACATACGAGATTGTGAAATAGGCTAAGCATTAACAGAGATGATGAAATAAAGATCACTGAAGAGAAAACACCCTGATTGTATCACTACATGTGTAATATATATTATATTTGGGCCAACTACAATATTGAGAAGTTAGTGACTCTACCAAAGCAGCCAGAGATCAAACGGTTTTAGAAAGAGATAGAAAGAGCGTTCTTCAATCCTTACACATTGCCAAGCGATTTAAAGTTTATAATAATTTGTATCCTCATGTTCCAGCCAGGCTTTTTATTCGATGTGATTTATCGCCCGGGCAACGTTGGCCCTCGAGAGACCCAAAAAAGTGTGCCACCACACACATAACTATAGTGCTGTACGATAAACACGGCAAGGTGATGGGAGGATGGGTGGAGAGCACCGGGGGGGTCCCTTATGCATATGAAACGCGCTTTGACAGTGCACTTTGCTTACTTAATTTGAGTGGTGACGTGGCAGAAGCAGAAGCAGAATCCCCGTAACGAGAGGCTTTAATGACGTCGCAGCAATTTAAAGTCGAGGCCTGTCACTTGGGGAGGAGTACTTTAATCGCACACAACGCCTTTGTTTTCCACGTGAATGTGGGTGAGCGGCTGAAAGAGATACATTTATGCAGCTGCGAGCCAAACGAATGCCATAATTAACGTCTCTGTCGGGGTAAGAACTGGGATGTCGTTACATGACTCTCGAAAACGCCTCTTTTAAAAAGTGTACCAAGCCCATTATTAACACCACGTGTTTCCCATTAAATGTCATCGGTTTTGTCCGCAGTTTAGCTTGCAAAACAGTGATCACGGCAAACATTGAATTTCGGAAGTCCGTTTATACGCAAGCTACACATTTTACACCACATTTTACACCACTTTACAACACTGTAATGAGAGTTGTTTGTATGCTGGTTTGCAAAATAAAATAATTTGGAATAGCGCACTCGGTTTTATCTGAAGGTGCGATCATTAATACCCTAATTATCAAAGAAAGTGGTAAATGCCAAGCAAAGTACAAGCAAGGAAATAGAGAACAAGTAAGGTAAGCTTTTCCAGGCCCGGAAATCTATCAAATAGCTGCCATAGGAAAGATCGAAAAATATATATATATAAATAATGCGAAAAAATTATAACGTCGTTGTTTTTTTAATACCAAGAGCATGACTTTCAAAATATTGAGTTTTTTAATAGCCTTTGAATCGAGAAAAAATTTCATTATAATCCGACAACGTATGAAGCTGCCATAGGAACGATCGGAAAATCTATATAGAAATAACGAAAACAAAGTTATAACATCGTTGTTTTTCATCAGACAAACATGATTTATGGAATATAGAGTTTTCTAACGAGTTTTGAATAGCGACTCAAACTTCATCAAAATCGGACGATTATATCTTATAGGTGCCATATGAATAAAAGTCGAAAATATGGAAAATTAGTAGAAAAATCCTCATAGCTTTGATGTTGATAAGCTTTTATGTATTTTGTTCGTCATATTTGATGAGTGCAAGGGGGTATAAGCTTTTCATTTCGGAAAAAAACCTAAAAGTAAAAGAAAAAGTTTTGATTTACTTTTTTATTTATTAGTTCATCTTGAAGTTCAATACTAATTTTAATTTAATATGAAAACTTACAGTCGATATACATAGTAATAATTTGAGAAAATAATGAGAAAATTCAAAAACATGATTTAAGCTTAACAAAATGTTTTGAATGAAGATAAAGTCGGTTCATACGGTTGAAGTACTGCAAAACCATTTGATGAATTATGGAAATATAGGAAAAAAAGAAAATATGTCATTATAAGTAGGTACCAGTTCAACCAAAGGTTGAAGCAGATTTTATTTAGATTGTAAATGCCGGACTTTTATTCACTTTTGAAAAAAATCATCATAAACGAAAACCTTAACCGCCGGCACGCGAAGAAAGACAGAGAGGGAAGTGGACACTGTGAATAAAAGTTAAAAAACAGCCAAGTTTATCAGTTCATCACTGTAGCGAACAATGCAAAGTGGAATAAACGGGGTAAAATAGACAAACAAGGAAAAATAATATTTACTGAAATTCAATATTGGTTCTACGGATCTTATCGGTCGAGTGATGAGCAAAGTATCGATTTGAGTGAAATAAAACTTTTCCAATTGATCTGTGACAGCGAAGGGGTACTAATCCCATTTGTTTCTCCAAGTGACTAACCAACTGTGCTAACTTTGTTTTTTGTTTCACTAGTGCCATTATCCACGGTTGCTGTGGTTGCCGCTGTCATCACTCGTGTGTGGCTTAATTTGCGGTTCATTATGCAATTAATTATTAACGGGGCGTTGCATTTTTCCATACCTATCCCTACACCGTTTTCCGTTTAAGTTTCACCTTATTTATAGACAACATTTGATTGCTGTGTTTACTTTTTCAAAGGCTCGTTTTCGTTTCTGCCGGTTGTATTCAAGCAGCCGTGTCGTGTAGATTACATCTCAACTGCTCGTAACAAAAAAAAAAAAACATGAGCCCCCTAAAAATATGATCTAAAAATTAATTTGTAAGAGAAGCGCGTTAAAAGACAAGTCCAACTATAATTTGCAATTTGTCAAAAGCGTCATTCCTCGTATTTCATTACATACTTAAAAACAATCAAATGGCTCAAAATGCGTACAAGGGAACAACTTTTGTGAATTAATGTTACAAAACTTGATTCTAAACAGATGAGAATTTAATAATTGTGACGTTACACCAGTGTTGGGTCTTAAAGTTGCCCTGCAGTTCTGGCTGTTCACAAGTGAATTGTGGCAATTACCAATCATGTGTGTAGGAAAGGAAAAGGGATATTCCAAAGTTTCCCTCTCTTGCTCACTCTTAGAACACATGTATACCGAAAACGGCAATGCCATATAAAATGTCTCTATGAAATGTCGTCGTTGCGGCAACGGTTCCCACGACAAAGCAGTTTTGGAACTGCAGGGTGGTGAATGAAACTTGCGTATGAATTTAGATTGGAATTGGTACAACTGGTACCGCTTGGAATGTAGTTAACGAAAAGAAATGGGCAAAAATGTTTAATAATTCTTTTGGGTTAAATGGTTGTTTGGGTATATTCAAACTGAAATGAAAGAATTATTTAAGTTATTAAAGTACAACCGTATTTTTGTAATAAAAAACGAATTTAATTTACACTGCCGGGAATGCTATTATTGAAGATAATAATAAACGTTTTGGGTCAAATGGATTACTCATGGAGCACATGAGTACACAAATTGAAATTCATAAATATGTATAAAAATTCAAAATTTACGTCGTTTGTTGCCATCGGAATAAATTTGTTTTCTTTTCTGTTTCTTTTTGGTTACTGAATTATAGAATTTTTTTAATAAATAGTTAAATCAATTATTCAATTTTTAATATTAATTTATATTTTATTGTTCGTAAAGGGTATTTTTTTTGGGCCCCGTGTATTTCCAAAGCTATGCCTTTGCTCGAAGTCAGAGCTTGCCGTTGTAGTCGTTGTCGTCCAGCTTTTTGCGGTCGTTTGCGGAAGTCCGCGTCAATAAAAGTTCGTTTATTGCATTTTTTGCGGTATTTCTGTTATTTTTTGTGACTAGCCCGCACTCACGCATTTTTCTAATAACTCTCTCGCTTTAATGGCGACGCCAGCTGTGAGACACAGAGCAATGAAAGAGTGAACCTTTCTGCCCCTTACCATAAACATATAAAACTGTGGTCATTAATCTGCCAGTCTCAAACTTAAATGAACTGGAAGAGTGCATCAAGGCCGAAAAAATTGATTTTCCATTATTTTAGATCCAAATACGTAAAAGGTCTATCGTGCATTTAACTGTGAGACTGTTAGTGGGCGAAGGCCTCTCATGGTAGTGAATAAATTTCTTATTCACGTCTATAAACAAAATATTAAAGTATGCTGTAAAAAAACATCTATGATTGGGTACATATACGGTATTATGCATCCGCTGACGACAGTTAATAAACCTATTTTTAACTTAAATTTCTTTTATAAGCTTTTAAAAACTTTTTCTAATTATCAAAAATACATATATCTTACAAATGAGAACAATATACTCAATCAATACGCTACACCACCAAAAGTTTGGGTGACCAAAAAATGTATTTCATAATAAATGACTTCTTCAGCCTTTTAGGTTCTATAATTACACTGTGCGACAAAATTTAACGAAATGTTTGTTTGAGTTACTTTTTTGATTGTTTTCGGTTAAGGGGCATAAGTTATGCACAAAAATATTTATGCCACCTTCTAAGTGATAGGGTTTCTTTTTTTATGATAAATTTAATGAAATTATTATTATGAAAATATTTAACACAAAATATTATTTTTTTTTTTACTTCCAATAAACTATTATTTTTTTTAAAAGTGAAATTTTTTTCTGATTTTTTGGCTTTTTCAGAGGTATCCTCGCGTAACAAGTTCCATACGTAGTCGCCCAGAGTATAGAGCTGGGAGAAAAAAATTTTAAAGCATTGTTATAAAAGCCTAACGGTATATTTGCTTAATATATTTTAATTAATAGATATTGAACTTGCATAAAACGCTTATAACGGTGAAAAAATATTTTCCCAATATGGTATTATAAGGCTGTGAAATATGCAAAAACACGCGTTTTTGGGACCTTTGAGTGTGCGTAGAAGCTGATTGGCTATTGATATTAACAAATCCAAAAACTTGTATTCTTATTTTGACTAGTAGAAGTGAAAAATAAGAAAAAATCAACTCAAACATTTTTTTGTCGCACAGTGTTATCTAAAAGACAGCCTTATCCAACTTACTGTGAAATCATTCTCAAACTGTAAATGGGCTGTAATAATCTAAAAGACAGCCTTATCCAATTTACTGTGCAATCATTCTCAAACTGTAAATAGGCTGTGACAGCTATTATATAGCTATAGCTATTATATAGTTTATTGAACAGCTCAATTAAAAATGCATCACGGATGTCGCCAGAATTCACAAGCGACTTTGACATTGGGCGATAATGCCTATTGCAATTGACCTCGCGGCCACTTACTTTAATTTCAAATGGGGATATGTGTGATGGGATTTCAGTTTCTATTTTTGCTCTTCGCCTGATTTAAATATGCATAGATAATTACAAAATCACTCCGTTGGCTTTATGTGCGGGCGCAACTAAACTTTCAGAATCCAATTTCCTAAGGAAACAACCATTTGCGGCATTTGGCAAGTTTTCTTTCTCCGGTCTGGTTTGTAAGAACATTTGCTGTGCAGATTTATGGCAGAATATGTAAGGCCGCATTAGAACGTGAGCAGCGCTAAAAATACAAGTCTTAAAAAATAGGTTGTATGCTGATTTATGCCCTACCATTACGTTCAAGAAGAAATTTTTTTTAGGAGTCTTAAATCATGCACAGTTAAAAACATAAAGTAGGAGGCCAAAATCACTCTTTACCAGGATTTGATTTTAGGCCATTTTATAAACATCCTTTTAATGGTAATGCTTTTGGTAAAGTTTTTCAAAATTTTCTTTAGGAATTTGAAAATTACGTTACCATTTAGGTATATGTGTATAGCGAGTTAATTTCTTTTGCAGGAAAATAATCTTCTACATTAATCTTGAATTATTTAGTGCAACAATTTTGGATGAATTTCATTTGCAATCACCACACTATCAGCTTTCTGTAAGAGTCAATATTCTTTCCCTACTCGGTTCCATGTGGGTTTTTCCCGCTTTATTCGCCTGAATGGCAAGTGGAAAGTTCACAAATGCACATTGAGCAAGACATTGTGGCGCAAAGTAGTTCAAGGCAGGTGTGTGAGACCTATGCTGGTTTTTCCTTCACCTTAAAGGACCTACCTGCCCCCAAAACCACCAGCTTTTCGCTCCCACTCTGGCCACTCACTTAGCAGAGCATTTTCACCTGCGATGCGCTTATAATAGAAGGCAGAAGCCAAGTATGAAAGGCTGCGAGACATTGCGCATACGTCACGTTGAGCAGAAAAGTAGTTATCCGCGAATAAACATTCCGAGGAGGAGGAGGATGAGTGTGTGCGCGGGCGGAGGAGCATTCGGAGCGTGTTTGTTTTTATTTATGCATGTTTAACTTTCGGGCTTCGTGCTTTTCATGTTCTCGTTCATTTGTTAGACGAGTCTTGTTTGCTGGCAATCAGCCAAGGCTAACAATAAGAAAAGGGGAATAATTCGTTTCAACCTCTCCTGAATTGCGTTGGAAAAACATATTTTTTGATTTCTTCAATTATATTTTCTTTATTTAATTGAGTACATTAGCCTGGTGTTGCTTGACGGAATAAAATGCAACGAGTATGTAAAAGAACTCTTAAATTGAATTCAGTTTACCCTGGGCTCCCCCTTCATTTTTGATATTTCGTCGTTTTGTTTGCCGAACACGAACCGGTGATACTGCCTGGCCAAGTTGGAGCACTGCAGGGGCTCGTTTTTATATCGTTGGTAGCAGTAGATCAGCTCCTCCTCCAGCTTCCCAATCTCGCCCTCGCATTCCCTGGCCCACTTTACAGGCTTACCGAACAGCTCCTGAACTCGCTGCAAGGACTTTCCGAACTCCGCTTCCTCGACCTCCAATGACCTCTTTTTCCAGGACTTGGCGGCCGGAACAGGTCGTGGATTCTGCACTTGGATCGGCTTGTGCTCAACCGTTGTCGGTACATCGGAACTCGAACTTTTACCGGCGTTATTTTTGCACTTCTCACAAAAGGAGGTCCCCACCTTGGTGCCATTTCCACTGGCCTGGTCGATTCTTTCCACCACATCCCGTGTGATGTCGAATGCCATCGGATTGGTCATCTGCACAGTCTGCGGCTTGCTGTTGTGGGCACCCATTGCTAAACATTTACGATGAGTTCTCGTTTCAGTTTTATAAGCTATGTATGATGCTCCGATTGGAGTGACGAATAATTTTAAACATTTGACCCCAAATTCAAAGGCTTTTCATGAGTTGGCGAAAAACTAAAACTGTTAACTTCTTTTGTGTTTGAATTTGGTTTGTTAAATGCTAAGAGCTTACCCAAACCCATGAAGCTAATTTGTATCGCTTTGATTGCTATTTAATTGTGGTAAATTGTAAGACGACAAATTCTGATTTGAAGCAAAAATGGACTATACATATACAAAATGACATAGGTAGAACCTTGGTTACCTTTTCAAAAATATATGTTAAATTAATATTCTCTTGTCTCGTGTTACACATGATGTTTTTTTAATGAGAAACAAACGTTAGCTTTAGCCGCTATATAAGGTTGCAACTCCAGTCATGTGCCCCTGCCACAGCCTCCTCCTCTCCACAAGGAAAAAACTTGTGTACGGCACCTTAATTGTGCTGTCAATCATTTTGCATATTTGCACAGATCCAACAACAAAAAAACAGATATGCGCGAAAAGTTAAATAAAACTAAATAAATTTGTGATGGCAAAGCGGAAGCATACCGAAATATAATGTGAAATGAATTTAAATATATGCAAAGTAAATAAATGCGTTTAGACAAATGACAAATCATTTTAAATCGTAGAGAGGTCGACTGTACTGAGTAATATTTATTGATTGCTGATACTTGAGTGCTCGTGAACAATTTACACAGCAGCCAATTAAATGTTTTGCTTGAAGGGAAGGAGAGATGTTTAGAATGCCTGTTTGGCACAAGAATGTTTCAACAATTGCTCAAAGTCAACGGGAAAAACGATTAATTACGCGTAGCTTATCGATGGAATAAACGGCAGAGGCGCAGAAAAATACTACACATAGTTGTTTTGGGCAATTCAGAATAGATGACTGAGAACTGACTTTTCCACTTTAAACAAATTTTAGGGACTTCTCGTTCCCTGATTGGTTTTATTTTTACAGTAATAGAAAATGTTTTAGTATGATTTAAAATCTTACTTTGAAAAGGAACACTAGTAAAGTGAACTACACTTAAGGTAAATTAAGTTAAGAAAAATTAAAGAGAGAAGGTGAAAGTCATAGTTTGAAAATCCTTAATTTTATTTTCAACTTGGCCTTTGGAAAATCTATAAATGTAGGGGAATGTTGTCAGGGTTGGGCCGTTGTCAGGGTCGGGCCATCTCAATATTTCGAATATTCGTTCTAGAACAATCTGTTTGTGGGTGTCTAGAAACTTCTATCGGTCACTCGAAACTTTCCACGTGACTACTTATTTCGGGATTTCATTCTTCTACGCGTCGTTGCTCCGTGAAGAAAAAGTGCTCGAAAAAGTTTTTTTTACCTGGCCGAAAAAGGTGAATATCACAAGAAAACAACATGTCATCCGCAAGGTGAGCATAAAAATACGTTATATAGTTATTTTTTTACAAAATACTAAGATATAGTTTCATTGTGAGATATAGTTTGGCTATATCATACCATAATAGATTAATACCGCATGTCGTCAGGGTTGGGCCACTTGTGTAGTCAGGCTTGGGCCATCATAATTTTTACATTTTATTCGTGTATTTTCGATTTTTGTTGTAATATTTAAGTTTTTAGTAGCAAAAATATGCAAAATAAATTAAATAGATTTTCTTAAAAAAATATTTCGATGGATTGAAAGAAGATGAATCATTTTTATCTTTTTCTTTAGTGTTTCTCGCTACAAACGAAAAAACAACTCTGAATAATTTTTTATTTACTGTAAAATCCCAAATAATTAAATAAATGAACAAAATAATGTCAGATAAACCTGAATTCAATTTTATTCCACCACGTTACGATATTGTCAACGATTTTCTGAAGGTGGCCCAACCCTGACTACATGGCCCAACGCTGACTACATTTTTTTTTTTTTTCAAACGCCTCTCACTTTTTTTGTTTTTGTTTTTTTGTTCTCTTTTTTTGGTGAACACTTCCTCTTGCTTGTACCTTTCCAAAAATATATAAACTTATTCTGAATTGTCATTGGTTCAGAAGTTATGGACATAGGTCAAAACATGGCCCAACCCTGACAACATTCCCCTATATGACCTAATAAATTGAACTGGATAGGCAAGAAAAGAGATAAATTCTAATTCCTTTTTTTTTCTTCTCAATTTAATTGTTTTTGTTGCCGAACGCCAAAGTAAGCATGAAGACAATGATGAGTGGTCAAAACATTTAAGCAATTTGATTGCCGAACAAAATATGGACTGTGTTGATTGAGTTTATTTTTACGTATATAGTAAGTGCGCTGATCTATTGCCGCATAGGAAAACTAGATTTTTGAATGAAATTGGATTTAGGATAATCTTGCTACAAAAATAAACTCAATTAAAAGTAGCGATGTACATTCAATGGTAAAATACATAGGAAGACAACAGGGTTTGGCCGATGATTTGGTACTTTCTATATTCTTTGTTAAGACCACCTAAGCTTTATTGATTTTCCCTTTATTTATTTTTTTATATTCCTATGGCAGCTATAAATTATGGTCGTCTGGGCCAAATACGTTTGTTTTTGGAAACTAATCAATTGCACATCGGCTTGCCGTTATCGACTCCCCTGGTGATGCGGATCGAGAATGTATATACTTTATAGGGTCATAAATGTCGCTTTCATTGCACTGCAAACACCTGCTTGAAAACATAGAAATATCTGCAAGGTTAAAATGTATTAAAGCCACCGGATTCATTTAAAAATCTCATATTTCATTGTATTGCGGTTACGTTCATTCATTTCTCTACCTTTGGAATCTTTCCATCTTTCCGGAAACTCTATACATTTTCTCTAGAATGTAAGCGGTTAACACTTAAGCCAAGAGTGTCATAACTCGCATCTTTGTGGCTGACAGACCCTTGGATTTGGCTTAAACAACTTTGAGCCAGAAGGGCGACAAACAACAAAATTACCTTCAGGTAATCAGCGGCAGTTTATGTTTGTTCGGTCCACTAAACTTTTACGACCGTTCCACTTATCTGGCTGAATTTGTCTACCGGCCGCACAGAAAATGACTTTCGCTCCGTCTTAATGACAGCTGGCCTGATAGCAGGATCTGGCCTAAAGCCGGGATAATTTCAGCATGTCCTTTATGTCTCATTAAAACTTTACGCACATCAGCACCGGAGGTAGCAAAAACTTAATAGTTTAATTTCCCGACAAGAAACCGAAGACCCAAAAAACGCAAATGAAAAAAAGGCTGGGATCCCACACCCAAAAGGTAGAAACAAAAGGTAACCAAAACAAAGAGAAATGGCAAACATTTGGTTTTAGGTTTCTCGGCAATAAATCTTCTTTTTCTGCTGACATGTGAGTAATCATGTGCGAGTTGGGGTTAGATCCCAGATAGAAAGGGAAAATATCGAGACTCGGAAAACATGGGGGAGATTAACCTTAAAGTTCATTTCTCCATTGACTCCATATTAAATTTCTTCAATGTGCATTTTCTCATTTTAATTGCTACAAAATTTGTTTTCTACGTGTTTTTTCTATAGGAAATACGAAGCCCGCCAAAACTTCAGGAAAACGTATTTTTTTAATTACGTAATAATTGCTTCGTTTTTTTCAATTATTATGTTTCACTCGAATCGAGCTTTTTAATGGTTTCCGTTGACTCGTTTTTTTTTTTTACTCTTTTTTAAGTGAATTAAAATACATAAAAATAGGTTGTAAATATGTTTCAGTTTTTCCGTTTTTTTTTACGATTGGTTGGCGCTTGGAGCTGTTTTAATGAATTTGTTTTTAGTTTATTACTTACGTGTCTTTGTGCTTTAAATAATTTTATAATTCAAATTGTTTAATATTTACGTTGATACCGAACGAAATTATTTTCTCGATTTGGCAAGCACTTTATCCTGTTTTTGCCTCGAATTTTACTTTATACACAATTTAATTCGTATAACATTCCACAGTTTTAACTTATAATAAACTGCAGCTGCATATATAATATAACTTCACTGGCTTTGTAATAAAAACTTTTGCCTAAGCCCACATATTGCAATCGTGTTACAGAAGTGCCTGTATTTTTTTACTTTTTGTGCACTTGTTTTTTTTTACATATCACCTCGTTTTGTTTTTCTTTCTTTTTCATATTTGCTTTTCCTTTTATTTATTTTTGAATTGCTGTGGACAGTTGTTTTTGAATGAAAACATTTTTTTCCACTTCGTTCTACATTTTTATGTTTAAAAATGTGTTCATTTGTTTTTATAGCTTTTCTTATATACACATTAAAATATTAATTTTTATTATGACATTTTTGATTTGTTTAAGGGCATAGTGCAGTTTGTCAACTTGTTCAGTGTTATAGGTTTTCTGTTTTTACACCAAATGTAATTTGTTCAAGTTAATGTTAACAGTGCATTTAGAAAGCGAACCGAACGCGACCAACATTCAAAACAAACTGATTGCGAATTTTCCAAACTGGTCCATGCAGTCTGAAAAGCGAGTGGAAAACAGCACCCGCGACTCGCCGTCAGCATCATCTCGTTTCGCTCTCCGAGTGGCGACTCTCTCTTGTGGCGAACAGTGGGAAATTTTCCTGGTTTGTTTGGGAAATTCAATGCGGGAAAACGCTGCTGTTTTTCCTCTGCCAGGAGGTGTGAGAAGTTGGCCACGTGCTTTGCCTCTTTGGCTGTCAACATTCGAAACGTGATTCTGGCGCTTGTCCAACTCCTCCCCGAATCGTGCGTATTTTATGAATGAATTAGGTACCTTCTGAACGCGGGAATTATGCAAAAATATAATCATTCGGCCTCAGTGCCTTCTATATAAGATTGCAGGAGCTTATACTCTGTTTGATATTGCTCTAATGGTTGGCTAGCTTTGTATGCCTAAATGGAAATAGAATTCATGAGCTTTGATATTTTTATTCTTCCTAAATCTAATTCCTGTTTCGCGACCAATGGATAAAATATTCTGGCCAGCCAATTAGAATACATATATCCATGTATGGTCTGGTCTTAATCATAGATAAAATTTCTTGTATTTTAAATAATTTAAACTAAAAGTACATAAGGCTTGACTTAGCTTTGTATCTAAGTCAATCCTAATTTATTTTATACATTTATTGCAAAAATAGTAATTTAGCAATTAAAGTTTTTAGAAAAAAAGTTTAGAGATTTTTTGCTTTTATAGGAATTTTTGTTTTCCATCGTATTGTGTTTTGAGTATATATTTTACATTGAAATTTAAGAAGCGTGCATAGGGTTCTCTAAGCAAATGAACTACGGAAAGGAGCATGTCAACGAAAAATAAATATGTGAGTGAGCACATACTTATTTATCAGCGGTGTCATTTCCGCTTTTTTCCCGTCAGATTTGGATTTTTTTAAAGTGTGATTGCGGGAAAAAGTAATGAGTATTTTGGTACTCCCAACATCGATAAAACGACATATTCCTTGTAGAAATACCGGGATTCTGGCGGAACTGCCGTTTTAATGAATTGGCTTCAGTTGCTCTGCAAATACAGTCTCTGCCTTGGTCAAACGCCGACGTCGAGCGGGTATTCAGTCAAGTAAATTCAATTAAAACAAAAATTCGAAATAGCATTCGCGTTGAAACGTTAAACGCTATACTAAGTATAAGGTCCATATTTAAATTTATTAAGATTTTGAAATTGGAAATTAATTAATTTAAAATTTAAGAAAGGGGCTGCGTCGACACAATAAGTGCTGTTTTAACTACAATCTACCACCCAGCTGCCTAACTACAATTGAACAAAAGAATTTTTATCCAAGTGATGATGTCGTTAATACTGACGATATCTCAAATATACTATAATTCTTAATTTTTGTACATTAATGTGCTGAACTGAGGGTTTATTAATGAAAAACATGCAGCTTTATATATACATAATGCTTTACAAAAATCAGCTTTTTTCTTAACTTTTTTTCTCTGGTATTCCGCTTTTTTTTCGTTGATCCAGCTTTTTTTGCTCAGAAAAAAATGACACCACTGTTATTTACACATACTTACTTATACACGTCATGTACGTGTTTCGAATCTTACATTACGGGCAACAACAATACAAAACCTAAGGATGTTAACTTTTCCCGTTGCTTTACAACTGTATTTAATGGCGCTCAGAGATTTTACTGAATTGCTGACTGTGTAGTTTGAAAAATCGACAATTGACAGGTAGCGAACATTTGCCGATATTTTTCATGGGTCCATGGACACATTTGGTCTATTGAATGCTTGGCCACCTGATCGAATCGAGCAATGAAACCTATTCGCCTCACTGTGCACCTCACCTCTACGTGCCTGCCTTTAATAAACTTACTCGAGTTTTGACCTCCTTTGTAAACTTTTGCTCTCGCTTGACGGTTGCAGTCAATTTCTACTCCATAAGGACATACAAACTGGCAAACTGGCAACACGAGGCGCTTGTTGCAGGAGATCGCCGCCCAACCGGCAATATGGAACAACAATATCGTCATGCCCGATAGGTGTTTTCAGACGAAAAGGGCATGTGAGCAGATCGAGAACTCCCTGCAAGTTTCAAATAGAAACTGCAAGCAAAAGTGGATGGCTCTTCGCGATTACTACCACTCTGAAGTGAAGCGAACCGTAAGTCATTGGCGCTATTTGGATGCGATGGCCTTCTTGAAGCCTATTATCCGGCGATCAGGATCTCCCATTTATTCTGCGCAGGTGGAAGAATTTAACGTTTGTCAAGATTATGCGTATCCTCTTAATCTCCCTTTGCCCCCCCTGAGGTGAGTTGCGATTCCCTTTCGAACGGTGTACAAAAAGAGGTTCCTGATGAATTAAGGATCGCAGATATTCAGCGTAACATGGAAAATCCGGACTACATGTTCCCACCATCATTGCTGAAAGAACTGGATTCGCTTCAGGAACAGACCAAACAGCAATTCTGTGAAATATAAATAAATACATACTCTTAATGTTGCAACTGTGGCATCATATTATATATAATATATGTAATACCCTTTTGCTCTGCAAGGGTATAAAAATGCCTACAATCTGTGGTGTAATGGTCTGCTTTCTTCCCATGCATTGGACAAAATACTTCATGGATCAGCTCCTAAACGAAAAAAGTTAATTTTTTATAACAAAAAAGATAACTCAAGCTCTTAATATTGTTAGCTTAAAATTTTAAATGAATGTAGGATGACTTCTTATGTTGCTGGTATTGTTATTTTTTAGTGCTAAAAAAGTTTAACAAAAAATTATTTATAAAAATATTCCAGGTAAAAATTCTTTGTTCACTAAACATTCTTAAAAAATCTCAGCATCGTTTAAGTTTAAAGGCAAGCATTTTAAGCAATCAAGCTAAACTTCATAACGTTTAATAGCTTTGTGATATGAGAGTCATACCGAGCCAAGTTTGTCAGTTTTTGTTCCAAATTTATGTTCTTTTTAATAAGCTCATAAAATATTTCGAGATCTTAAATTTTTACTGCCGGTCGCGATTTTAGAGGGTTGTAAACTTCAAAGTTAAATTAATTTTGAGCGGAAATAGGGTTTAAAAGTGCGCCCTTAATAAACTATACGTACTTTTCATACGAAGGGTAACAATCCCTGTTAACACCTTTTTTGGCCTAAATCCTTTACCCTGTTCGACGTGGCTTTGTAAGCTGCGGTTCCTGAATTATAAATGCTCATTAAGCATACGTCGACGATGACGAAACTAGGCAATTTTCTGCAGAAGACCACTGACCGCCGCACACCAGCTTCATGAATAATAAGAGCTCATTCTGTTTTTATTCACAAGAATATAAAAGCACTTCCGATTTTTCGTTCAGGGCGGCAGGAGTTTGCCTAATCGTTTTAATACTGATGAGAATTAAAATGTGGGTATGAGGTGATTCATAAGTTGTTTAAAAGAGTTTCTAGATTAACCTCTCTTCACTATGTAATTAAAAAGCAATCCGAGGGCCTCATATTTTATATTTTAGGTTAACGTTATTCATCCTTCTTATGCCCTTGCTAAGGGTATTCATTTTAGTTAACATAAATCTGAGGTGCCTCCTTCACTGCGCTGCAAACTTCTGACTTAAATTATAATACCCTTTCCTCTGCAAGGGTATAAAAATGATTTTCAAAATATGGAGTTTTTTAATAACCCTTGAATTGAAAAATAAATTTCATTAAAACCCGAAAACGTTATCATATACTAGCTGCCATAGGAAAATTAGAAAAACCTATATAGAAATAACAGAGATAAAATTATAACATCGTTGTTTTTTATCAGGAGTATGATTTTTGGAATATAGAGTTTTCTAACGACTCCTGACTGACTCTTGAATTTCGAATTAAATTTCATAAAAATCGGCAAGCCGAAGCTTGCTTCCTTTCTTGTTTTTTTATTATATTGACAAGATTTTCCAGATGATTTTTTTAGGACTCTTAAATTAGAAAACTATTTGCAAACCTTTTTATGAGTATCGATTAACTGCTCACACACAGCCAATGATGCGTTTCATGTTAAATTTAACTGATTTATGAAATGGTAATATTAACTTTCTGACTTTATTTGTGGGAACTTAATGGTTGGCTCATTTAAATTAATTATTTGTTGCCGCAGATCTCTGATTAACGTATGTATTGTGAACCTCATTAACCTCTTTTATGGAGAAAAACTCTGCGTTGATTGTTGTTGTTATTGCGAATTTAATTTCACAATTGAGATTATGTGGCAGCGATGAGTATTCCTCCCGCTTTTGTGTTGTATTCGCTTTTCATTAAGAGCTTAAACCGAAATGTGCTTATAAGCATACAAAACACAAACACAGTTCTAGAAAAACTGTGGTGTTTAGTGGGGGAATAAAACTTATGAAGCAGGTACTTTACGCAATTTTTAAAATGACTAAGCCAGTAGTGCATCGCTGTATATCAATGATTCATGCTCCGCATGACGGCTGAAGCCGCTCTATAAATCCATCCACATAACCGTTAAGTAGGTTATATGAAATGGTCCTCCAAAGTTTCTTCCTGTGTAGGCACACTTCCCGCCCAGTTTTTAATAACCTCATGTGTGGGACATAAAAATGATTATTGTTAATTTTGCAAGTCGGGCACGATAATGAAAAGTAAAACGCCGCAAATTGAATCACTGTGCGGTGTATTCAGCTTAATGCGCTTAATACTCCTGCGTGAGTCCTGTGTGTGCTGAATGTTCGTGTGAGTATCTGCAAGGTAATAAAATAAACCAGCGACAGTTTCGTGTCGCACATTGTTGTGCGGCATCCGCTCAGATTTTCCCAAGGCGCCAGCCAGAGTGGATTTACGGGGACAAAAGCCGGGCGGCAGAAAATAAGAACAACCTTTGTACCATAATCATTATCCTGTATGCAAATTCCGAATGAATAAATACCCGCACTTGTTTCCCTCAAAATCGGGGAAACATAAAAATAT